ACAAATCTTCTTAGATACTTTTTTAAGTCTACACCAACCTTACTTTCAAAAAGCCATCAGCTTTGGCTAACTTTCATTCATATTCTTCTTTCTAGAGAGACAGCGTTTTTATAAAGACCTCTATTCATTAAAGATGCGTTAACTTATTTCCCCCTGCCAGTCGAGACGTCTCCTGTCTGGTGGCCATTATTTATATTGAGCATCCCATACATAAGTCTGCGATTTTCCTTTGATAATTAAGTTGTGTACATTAGTTCGCTTGCGTGTTTTGCGACCCACTGCGTGTGGCTATATTCCACTCCTCCGACCGCCTCGTGTCCTTTTTTACTCATTTGCGGAGGCGAAGAAGTCCTGAATCCTGAGTCCTGCAGTATAATGCTTATATTAGCCAGCTCGTGTCTGATAAGTGAGTTATTCGTGGGTGGGTCATATGGTCTCCACCCCGTTGGCACTGCCAACATCCTAATTACCCAACATAAAAACGCTTGCTGGCCCAGTGCGTGTGCCTTTGATTAGCGTTGGGTAATGAGTTTTTAGCTTGTCGTAGAGAAGTTGTCTGGCATGGGATGTCCTTGGTGAAATGAGATCGCATTTGCGAAAGGAAGTGCGTAGGCTAATCATGACTATCTGTATCTTGATTTCTCTGTATCTTGATTGTGTATGTTTGTCCTTAATAAAGTTAAAGTGGGTAAAAACTGTTGATACTTATATAGGAACTTGTATAAAGGAAAATTATAAGGTTTGTTAGACTTTTTATGTTCATATATACAAATCTTTGTATATGAAATTTATTCAATATTTGAGCCATAAAGAAGTTTCAGCTTACCTTAACAGCTCTAACAGAAATCTATTTCCGAATTTCTATCATCTGTTCTACCATTTAGTCCGTTGTTTGTGATAACAAAGGACGCGCCATAAAAAGGCCATACACACAGCGGCATTGAAAAGCTTACAAAGAGGCTCATAAAGCGTAAAACCGAGACCAGGGAACGTGGCATGCAATAAAACGCAATTTAAGAACCTTTTAACAAGGCGATAGATGGAAAGGGTGGCACCACTGGATTGGTTGCAGGCATTTATGCCTCGCATTTGGTAATCAATGTTCTCTCAATACCCCCGCAAAACTCCATTCAATAATGCCAGGCCTCTCAGAGCACGAAATGAAATGAAAATCCTGTTGGCTAACAACGAAAAAAGGGTCCTTAGGACTTAGGCAGATCCTAAAAGTATGGGCCAGACTTGGCTGCAAGAATGAACAATAAAATAAAGTTGATTAAATCCCCGGCGACAAAGTTTATTAGCAAAAATGTTGGCATCGTGTTTGGGTGAGCCGATTTAGAATATGTACGGCATTATCTATATATATTTTTCCAGTAAATATATATATATATATATGTATTGCAAAGAAGACAGAAGCTTATCCGCCGTCTTTTGCCAAACATTTGCCAGACAATGCCAGCAAAACACAGACAGAATGCTTTTTAGGAATATTAAAAAGAGAAACTTACACTAGTCCATGTTTTATGCCAAAGAAAAGTAAAGTTCATAAGTTGAACATTAAATATTGATTTTTATAAAACATTTTTAGGTAATAGATACATACATTGTTAGATCTGAAGGCCACTAATTACCTAAATTAATTATTTTGTTTTTATTTTCTATAAAAAAAAATCATTTAATTTTTTTTGAAATTTTCTGCTTCATAATATTTATTGGGATATTGTCATCAATTATCTTACTTTCCGAGTTGGCCAGTGTAATCAGGAGCGAAATGTATAGCTGCAAATTCACAAATATCGCTCCACGCCGTGCCAACATCCGTCCCCAGCCACTCAGGCTCCCAGTTGGCGCATTCCTCTCTAAAAACAGAACGGATATGAATATACCCTAAAGCTATCAGACAGCGTAAATGAGCGTGTATTGAAGATAAAAATGGCTGCAAAGCCAGTAAGAAGAAAGAGGGAAATACTAGGGGGCTAGAATGGGATATATAGAGAATGGCAGCGCTCAAACTGCACCAAAGCGCAAGAACAAACAAAACATGGCTAAATAGCAGGATGGCCATGGGAACAGGGAAAGCTAGCTATCCCATCCCAGCTACCACTTCGCATTTAGCTCAAACTCCAGAAATGTCTGCTGTGTCTCTGATACGGCAAAATCTGTTTGGCAACAACAAAAAAAAAAGGGGAAAAATTAAAAAAGGAGAGGCAAGTGCACAATACCCACAGCAACAGGAAAGTTTTTCAAGCGCAATGTTTGCAGCTCTTTAGTTCGTTGAGCATTGCAATCCGCTTCACAGAAGCCCAATGTTTTTCGTTTTTTTTTTTTTTGGTGAAGTAGGGAAAGCAGATGAAAATGTTCTGGAAACAAGGAAAATCAAAGCAGTCCAGCGATTATTGCTATGTTGCATAGGATCAAGAAATTATTTTTCAAATTCTAGATGGCACTTACATGCATGTTAACAAATCCTCTTAACAACGTTTTTGATTTTACGCACTCCAAGGATTGATTTTGGTTAGTAAACATCTTTAGGTAGTTTTAAAATTTAAATATTTTCCGTTTTTACTGGCCTACATTAATGCTGAGCATAATCTTTGAACCAGATTACTATTTCACTTTCAGCAGAAGCAGCCAAGCGCAGACTTATCAGCATGTCAACCAATCTTTATACGAATTCGTTTGCATATTTTCCATTCACATAACCCTTTCATCTTCGAATATAATTTTTCTGTCTCATCCCTTTCTTGCCCCCAATTTTGTATTTCTTTTTTCATTTGTCCATCCGGTGTTGCAATCAACTCTTCATACTTCCCTTATAAACAAAAAAGAAAACTACATAACTCCAGGCCCAGTTCGCGAATATAGGGAAAGATAGTCGTACAAAGGTCTGATGGAAAAGTGAAAAACAAAAAAGCAGAAGCTGTTGCACACACTCGCTTGAACATTGTGTCGATTGCGTGGGCGTAACCGGAGGGGAAATGCTATTAACTGGTCATACCCCACGGAATAGCAAAGTTTTTTCCGCTCTTTTATGACCCCTCGCTTCATGGCACATGGATATGCTCGCTATAGCTTTAGCTATTCCATATCCATTCCCATTTTTCGCGTGTACCCAGTCTAGAAGGCCGACACATAATCGTATCAGCAGAAGATTTGTAATATGAAGCGGAAGAAATGGATGATAGTTTGTTGGCCGCAGACGGTTTTTTATGTTTCGTATCTTTTTTATTTCAGTTGAGTGATAAATGCACACTCATTGTTTTGGCAATAGAATTGCCAGGGCGATTTATAGGACAAGGTGCTTTCGTACGTATCAAGGATTTTAAGGTGTCGCAGGTTGTTGAGTTCAATTTAACGTCATTAATGACAAAGTAACAAAGAATTTCTTCTATTATAACTGAAAATATAAAAAATTAAATCATATATTAGACAAATTGACGAAGATTTTTTTGAGAAAACTCCGACTAACGTTTGGGTGAACCCGCGATTTATATGCAATTTCACTCCGGCAACGTTTTTGTGTGGAAAAGTTAAAGCTCTTGGCGCGCAAAAATATTTATAGAAGAAAAAAACGGTTGTAGGAAAGTTTGCTGATTTAACCAATTTTAAAACACACACAAACTCAGACAGGCAAACAGACAAACCGACAAACCGACAGTCAGACAGCGTGGAGGCAGACACAAAAAGCCATTCCATTGACCGCAACAGAAAAAACAACACCACCCAAAACTTGCTGGGGAAAAACAAGGAGTTGGAGGGGTCGGAAAAAGGTGTGCTCTGCCGTGCGGGGCAGCATCTGCAGCTGTAAACTGGCGGCCAGCACAACGTTCCCTTGGCCAAGTAAAAACTCATCAAACTATATTTTCAATAAATAATGACAATCGACTGGGCGAGGGCGCTGCAAAATGGCCGCCGTTTCAGCCACCCAAAATGCGCCACAGCTTCATTGATTTTATGCCATTTGGCCAGGAACCACAACCGCTACAAGCATAAAATTGAATCATAAAAAATCAAACATACTAACATATATATTTATTTACATATTCGTATATATATAGATATATATGTATTTAAACGAGTGTATGCCACGCCTTGTCGTGTGGGCCAAACATTTGCATGAGCAGGAAAAACAAAAACGGAATAAAAAGCACTACTTTTACAGTTCTTCCTTTAATACTTTTTTATTTTTTTAGGTTTTTTTTTTTTGCCCGTCAGTCAACTGACAAGTCAACAGCGATGCAACCTGCAAAAGCCAAGGGCTGCAAAAAAAGTAAAAATGTGACAAAGGTGGAGAAATGGTGGAAAACGTGGCCGAGATGAGGAAAAGCCTGGGGTTTCGAGTAGCTTGGCGAGTGAGAGTGGGACAGCCTAAACGAATTCTAGAGCTACTCGACGACGACGTCGGGCATTTCCCAACTACTCTTTTTTTTCGACTTCCTTTGTCGGCACATATTATAAATTGCACTACGGGGAGCCGTGCCGAAGTGCCGGCGTGTGAATGGGCCAAATGCGCGGGCATCTAAAGGAAAAACAAAAAACAAAAAAAGAAATGCACAAATGTGAAAAGATTGAGATGAAACTGTGGTGTGTGTGTCCACTAAGGGAACGCCACGCGAGAAGTGCTTGCAGTTTTTCGCTTTTCAAATTCAGCGTTTAGCGGCCTCCAATCGCCAAGGATTTAAGGCTTTTCATTTGGAATTCACAGCGAAGCATAAAACCGCAACTGATTAACGATAAAAAAACCAATTTGAAACCAATCAAAAAAGCAATAAATGAAGGATAAACAAATGTAATTATAAACAAAACCACTAATGCAATATTTATCCTTTCGCCCTTGACAAACCACATCTGAATTCGAAATTAAAGGAAGTAAACATCCTCTTTAAACAATTTTCCAAATTTTTCTATTATTTTTATTAATATTTAGAAGTAGTTCCAGTTAAGGATTTTATTAATTAACTTTCACATTCAATCTAGAAGTTAAACAACCGATCACTTACCTCTTTTAACTCCGGAAATATCTTTTGCGTAACCTGTAAGTAAAATATAAAAAATTATTAGTTAAGTTTATTAATTGAATGTTTCTGGCATTTTTTAATATTTTGTTGAAATGTTCAAGGACCAAAATATGCAAGCAACACGGAACAACAAAAATCCGGAAAAGCTCTAAGGAGACCCCACTCATTTCCCTTTTTCCCTTTTTCTTTACTTTTGTTAAAACGGGGTAAGTTGCAGTTGAGAACACGCAAAAGTATTCAAATTAAAATCCACTCGAGTAAGCACAGGGCAGGTTTTCGGTGAAGGGCAGAAAAAATAAGATGGGGAAGGCAAAATGTTTCCTTCCTGACAGGCCAAAAGGCAAAAGGAAAATGCGCTGAGAGCTTAAGCTTTGTTTTCCTTTAAGGTCATGTTTTATATGAAAAAGAAAAAAGGCAAAATTCAACAGTCATTCAGATGGGAAAATCATAAGAAACATCATTTATTTACATATCCTTTAAGTTATATTTAATTCAATGCACATTTTCAATTCATTTTAGCATGCACTTTTCAACTTAATCGGAAATTTAAAATCAATAGATTTTTAGTCTTTGTATCTAAGCACTCATTAATATGCCTATGCTCATTTAAATATTTTGTTCGGCAGGTAAATGCATTTCCATGACCAAATAAACCTATGCCGAAAATGTTTTTTGTAACCAATTATTTTCATTTTGGCTCTCACAATGCTACACGCATTGCAAATTTCGGTATTATTTCTGTTGGTATTCGCTGACACGAGAAATTAACGCTGAACAATATTCGCAATTTTCTGCACTTTTGTAGGAATGTTTGAAATGACGTCAAAATCTCGTAACAAAAGTGAAATAAAATATTTTATGGAACTTAGTTTACTATAATGGTCTATGAACTCAATTACTGGAAAACTAGTTAACTTAAATAAAATGGAAAATAAACAAATACGTTGACTTTAAACTGGCAAATAAATTAAATGAAACGTTATTAAAAGGGCATTGCTAGATAATCATATTTGTGAGTCATTTATTTCATAAATTCAAATTTCATAATTCTTAAAGTCAACTATTAAAGATTTTATAAGAAATATCTATCCATCTAACTATCCCCCATTTAAAAGTATATAAAGTTAAAGTTCCCTTTGATCTTTACTCACGCATTCAGATGGGACATTATATTTAAACACAAAGCCAATGCCAGCGGCTATAAAATCGTTAGCTGGATAATGGAAAAAAGGCATTTCATATTTTAATTCATTAGATTTTTATACCATCAGCTTTGAGATGCCAGACAAAGGGGACTTTCTATTGTCTACTTTGAGGACACATTTTAGCTTCAAGCTCGAAAAAAAACCACAAACAAAAAATGTTAAAGTTACTTTGGTAAATGCACGAAGACTAGCGGTTGCCATTAATTTTATCATTAATTTAAATTTATTGAGTTAAAAAAAAAACAATGAGTAAGCAAATTATATATCTAAATCATATTTCTAAAAAGTTTAAATTAGTCCAAATCTTTATTATCATGCGGAATTTCAGCTTTTCAATAAACTTTCTAAGCACATTTTAATTGACGGAATTGTCATTTTTGGGGTTAATTTCAAGGGTTGTTTTTTTGGTGGTGAGCCGCAAGTAATGTAAATCGTTCAAAAGGGTTGCATTTCTCTAATAAATGAGAAGCGTTTAATACACATAAATTTTTAACATTTTAATTAGGCAAGCAACTAAAATGATTGACTCACTATGTTGCAATATGTTTGCAAAGCCCAAGCCTACATCATTCTGCAAGAGTAACGGTCCCTTTACTATCATAACAATGTAAAATGGAAAAAATGATTATGAAACTCTACGCACTCTTGCAGGAAACGCCACTCAGATTGTTTCACTTTCGTTTCTTTTCATTTGGGTTTCTACATGCCCCCATCACAGCCCACGACAACCCTATTTATGCCATATAAATCACATTTAAATGAACTGAAGCATAGCTAGTACATCCATGTACCTCTAACATTGCCCATTCATTGACTTAATGGCTTTTCGTCCGATTTTCCTACAATTTTATTTATTTTGTATGCATAAATATACGTATGTAAAATGGTTTCCGCAACGCGAAATTTTATTGTCGACATTTTGAAAGTCCCTTTAATTTGATTTCATCCACTTTATTTCGTTTAACAAATCCTAAACCGATAGGCAGACAAATGACCCAACGTTTTGGAATAATGTACTATCTATTAAGTTTTCTGTTTGACAAAAACAATGCCACTATAAAAGATTAAACTATAGTTGAATGTCATTCACAAAGGCGATTTCTAAAGAGTCTCACAATCGGACTCTGCGGTCAATCTAGCCTTGATAAGAAAATCTTTCTACGTTTCTGAGTAATCAAAAAAGTGGTTATTTAAATGAAATACAACTCTCGTTGAAAGCGCCATAACTAATATGCCGTGAGAAACCATGAACTTGTTCAAAATCAAAACTTTTTGCTGACTCAAAAGTGTAAAATACAAATTTTAAAAACGTTTTAAACTGTCCTTTGGTTCCTCACTATCGATTTATATACATTTTAATGTCATTTCCAATTGCGGGAAAAATGCTGAAACTGCAATTTCTACTTTTTTACAAAATAAAATAATACAATTTTATGTGCATTTATGGAGATGTTTGACATTCGTTTGTTGCATATCAATCAAGTTATATTGGCAGGAGAAAAGGCTAAAAAGAAAACATGACATATGATATTGAATTGATGAAAAATATTCTGCAACTATTTGATGTTGCATTTGCAGGCATTTATATTTGTGAAATAAATATAAATATATTTGGCCAATCAATGTCAAGTTCCAGACTATTATTGGATTAAAAAAATATAATGAAAATAATAATAGGTACTGTCATAAATTTCATATGGCTCTCAGAAGTTTTCTTTCATCATAAAGGATAGCTATCATCTATGAGGAAACTTTCCATATCCATAGATGTATGAACATTCCTTTGCATATCTGAGCCCTGGAATGGCAAATGAAATATTTAACCGCACACACAACTCTTTGGCCCAAAGTTTGCCTTTATTGGCAGCAATCTGCGTGCGCGGTGATGTCTGGGATGTGTGTACGACGAGTGTGTATGTGCCCCGCTGGCAGGGAAAAACAGATAGACAGAGATTCCAGACACAGACACAGACCCCGAAACATAATGAGCGGCATTAAAACTAATGAAAATCAACTTTGGCACACCGACGAAAAACGCCGGGAAAATCGAGAACTAAAAGGGCGCATCCGAGGAAGGGGAGGATGTTGATAGAAGAGCCCCCCACAAAGGCGCGCAGCATAAAAATGTCGACTTCTGTGGCAGAGTAGAGACACAATAAAAATAAAAGCAAACGCCGCCTGCCCCATCATCATCATCATCGACCTTCCTCCCTCGCAACCCCTTTTTTCCACAACAAAACTTTAGACGTCGTAACCCAGAGTAACAATAAGAAAATTGCGAGACAGCCAAAGTGGAAAAACGCATAAAAATGAAGACGCAACAATGAAGAAAATTAAAGGCAGAAAATCTCTCAAAGGCGATTTTGCTTTTTAGCTAAAGGTAAAAAAAATATTAAATTAAAATAAAATATTGATTTATTTATCTATTATTAAAAGGAACTTTCTTATAAAGTTACATAATCAAGTTCTAGCACTTAATTTAAATAAGATATAAATTCTGGATGTTGGGATACTTCTCCTTTGCCAAACATCCCAGCAGTTACTTTCAGGCTTTCATATTTAATTTATTAAAATGTGGGGAAAAGCAAGAGGATAACCCGTAGGCAAAGCACACCTTTTCTTTTGCTGGAAAAATACAACCAAAAAGGACCAAACTATATACATAAATATATCTGCCTGCCCTGTGTGTATATGCACATAATTTTTAGACCAAGCCAAATGAATGTGAATCTGCACTTGAATGCGAATGCGAAAAGCGAATGCCAACACGAAAATTTGCTTTGGCTTGACTTGGTCTTATTCTCTTAGTTTTCTTTCCTTTATCTGAGCTTCTTTCCCGTTTTCATTTTTGTTTGTTTTTCCATTCGTTTTGTCCGTGTGGATATAGTATGCGATATATGGTGTATCTTGTATCTGTAGCTGCGTCTGTGCATAATGTATCTCCGTCTTGGCGAATCGTTTTGCCTTCTGTTTGTTTATGCTTCGCAACTTGACTTGGGGAAACAGAAGAAGAAGGGGAAATAAAGGGAAGAAAATGAAATGTGGAAAAGGGGAATGAAAAGAAAAGAAAAGTTTTTATGCCTTTGTCTGATGCTCGTCTGTTTGTTTATGCATCCCACTCGTATCTCTGTGGCTTACCGCGTAACTTTAATAATTTAATTAAATTCTACCAAAAGCTCCAAAACGCCCCAAGAAGTCCCGCTTTGATTGTTATTTAGGCCATTTGGCATATTGAGGCAGCATAATTCTCACATAAAATCCAATTTAAGCGCATTTTTAGTGGCCAACTTTGGCCTTCCTGATTGAATTAAAGGCTACACCAGCGCACATTAATCAGGGTTACAAAGGAAGTGGTTAGCCCTTATCTAATATAGTTCATATAGCTTTCTATCTTTAAAACAAAAGAAACCACAGAGCATATATGCCTGACTTTAATAATCTTACATATAAGAAATATTTAAATAAACTGGTTCCTTTAAGGGAATCCCCTTAAAAGGACTAACAAAAATATATGACAAACATTTCGAGGATTACGTTAATGAATGGCACATATTGAAATGTACGCGCCATAACCTTTAAGTCGGTAACGAAAATGGGCGAATGGATGGAAAATTACAAACGCGAATTACACCTGCCAGGATAACGACATTTACTCGATTTAACCTTCGCTTTCACCCTCAAAGGGAAAAACCATTTACATATCTCTGCATGTGCATGTGCGTCCTAGAAGGAGGCAATTTACATCAAGTCACGCCCTTCCATTAAAGCTACTCATCAATTTGAAGTACCAGGCGCTTCAGTCATTCAACAAGCTTAAGGGATTTATTCACCGCATGCATGTACATTCCCTTTATAAATATATATATATTTCTCTTCTTTTTTATTATATTTCATTTATTTGGTTGGCACTCGGCAAACAATAAATGTCAGTCGCATGCCTGGCGAATGGGTGATAGTAACACACTTTGCAATGAGAGATACATTTGTATCTGGCAGATATGACAGCAAATACAGAACACACACCCCGTCTATCATCTGGGCTGGGATATTCCAAATAAACCATTTTAGTGTTTTTAGGTCATTTTTTGTGTATAACATTATGAAGCAGCACGAATCTCTTCATCCGCGGTCACGTTGTCATCTCTAGTTCTGGATGGTGGCTTCATTATTTGTTTGTTTACTATGTTGCACTTGGCACGTACGGGAAATAAAGCAAAAGAAAATTGCATAAATGCCCGGGCAAAGTGTCCATTGTTCTGGGCCCTATCTATTCCCTTCCAGTCCCTAACCACATCGCCTATATATTTGATTTATGACTGCTTTTTGTTTTGTCTGAAATTATATTTGAAACGAACTTTTAGTCAACAGCTTATCAATAATGGCAAAAAGCAGCAAAAAGCCAGATGTGACTCCAGAAATTCATTTCACTTGTGTCTAGAATATTGAATCTTGTTTTATTTTCCCATTAAAGCTAAGCAAAAATAAGATTAAAGAGAGAAATCAAAATCAAACAGATGAAGTTACGTAAAATTAAATAGCCGCAATCTTAAGCTGAAACTGAGATAGAGTATCTTTTATCTTAATTCCCAGCTATATCAGGTTTCTGTATCTCAGAACTGTTGCTCTTTGAAGCATATTTATTCATATATACATATATATATATATTGTTATTTCCTTACTTGCTTGTGGGAGAAAACTTTTATAGCTGTTGCATATTTTTTTATATAATTGTTTATATGTTTGGAGCGCAGACAGATAATGTCGAGACATTGACCTTTTTTCGCTGAAACTAAGCGCAATTTTTTGTTGTTTCTTTTCTTCTCTATTTCAGTTTGATTCTCGGTTCTCTGTTCTCTGTTCTCTGTTCTCAGTTCCCGATTTCTCAGTTCTTGTGTCTGCTCTCCTTCTTTGTTGTCAGATTAGCCGGCCAAGTGGATAAACCAGTTTTCTTTTCTGCCACTCTGCCATCTTCTCTCCGTCCGATTCTTGGCCCTCCATCTCAGTGTTTTGCCCATGCTCATGTTGCTTGACTTTGGCTAATTAGCCAAGAGTGGATGTTTCTGTTGTTGTTGTTTTGCCTTTAGTCGTATGCCCTGCCCCTCCTCAATTTCGTAATGTTGAACTTAGGAAAATCTTGCCAAGCAAACAAATTAGTTGAAGTCGGAAAAAAAAGCCCAAGGCGTAATACGTTTTTTAATTGTGTACTTTGATTAATTTTTTAGCAATTTAAGCTTTAAAAATCGTTTAAAAAACAAACAGATTTGACTCATAACTTGCCTCTAAATAACTAACACAAATCCTTATAAGTCTATCATTAAAATTGTTAAATTTCATGATGTATACTAATTTTTAAAAAATTTGGAAGTCCCCTTTGTTCACCCGAAGTTGGCTATTTCACAATAAAAATGGATGAGTCTCCAGTGGTGTACTCATGTTTTCATGACTCACCTTATGCTTTCTACCTTTTCCTCTCTTTCGGCCTTAACAATGGATTTGCTTTGTTGAAATAAGTAAGTAGAATCTGAATCTCAATCCCAATACATATATGTAAATGAGTAGCTAGCTCATGTGAAATGTGTATACATAAGAAATGTGTTATTAGAGTTGGGTAAATTGGAAACCTTGGCACCTTGGCAAGTGAGAATAAAAGTAAAAGGCAAAAAATACTGAAAATAAACACTCTAGGTCGCTAGAAAAATGTTCTGTCGATTCATTTGGAGTGACAAAAGCGAAATTAAATTAATTAGCATGGTAAAACCCATTTGTTGAATAACAAAATACACCCAACATTGGGGGAGAGAAAGGCAAGACACAATTACCAAAATTGTCTACCAAAATTATAAGAGTACCTCCGCTGCTCCACCCTTAAAATAATGATAACCTTACCCCCTCAGAAATCCTTCTCTCTCTCTCGTCAATTATCCTGGCAAAGTACGTAATTATTTTTGTTGCTCGAAGGGTTTTCGGGTGAAAATGTTAACTTCGTTTCCGCCTGATTGAGCATTTGTTTCAATGTTATTGTCTATGGGTCATTTGCAGCACCCTCGGTTGTATTTCATTTTAAGCTCTGATTGTTGTGGCTTCTTTTGTTTTCAGTGAGTCAAGTGCACTATAGAAGACTAGTACATATCGGTTTAAATAATTAAAAGGAATATGAGTTGGCTCAAGCTTTTTTGTAAGCTTTGGGTTATTATGGCAAATCAATCAAAACTATACAAAAATGTACTAGATATTCTCTTGTTACTCATATGTATAATAATTTTACCCCATATTTTTTTATAAATTTTGTTTAGCTAAAAAATATAAGAATGAATGAATAATATAAAAAATAACACATATTTTTATACGAGGTGTGTTCAAAAAGTAAGGTGACTCTTCAAATTTCGCGAATTTCAAATTTTTCGATTATCGATTTTTTTGTTTTGTTATATTGGTACACTCTTCCCTAACATCTGTACCAAGTTTCAATGGAACATCCTCTTTGTTTGGTTGGAGAGGCGTAAAGTTACAAGTTATTTTGCGAGCTCGGCATTTTTTCTATCGAAAAATATGGATCAAAGGATTTGGATTTTGGCCAAAAACAACACCACAAAGCCCAGCCACCATATTCACCGGATTTGGCCCCATGGACTTTTCTGTCCCAAAACTAAAGATAATCGAAAAATTGAAAATTGAAATGAAAAGTCACCTACTTTGAACACAACTCGTATAACTCTAAAAGGTTTCGATAATCGAAAATTTGAAATTCGCAAATTGAAGAGTCACCTTACTTTTTGAACACACCTCGTATTATTCCTACGCTTCAGAATTAAGCCCTTAAAAATTAATCATAAAAGGTTTCTTTCATAAGAAATCTGGCACGTTTAATAATTACTACATAAACCAATTATTTTCTTAGTAAATCATTTAGTAACTTAATATTTGTTATTACTACGAAACTTACCATTTACGATGATGATGAAAATTATCGATACGAATACAATGTGGAAAGCACATTTTGATGACATTATATGCGATGGGGATCCAACGTGGATGGTGGCTAAAGTCCTCTAAACAGAATTAGTACAAATTTCTGTTTCCTTAATGTGATCGGAGCTCGTTGTTTGATTTTTATATTTTTAATAATTTCCTTTTGGCAGTAGTTTGTGGAGGTTTTTAGTGTTTTTATTATTTTTTTCTTTAATCTTTTTGCGGCACCACCTCGTGCTTCACTGTTGGCGGCTTTTTAATCAGAGCTTTGCACTTTCCATGCCATTTACAAATTTAGCACTTTTTGCATGGGCCATAAAACTTCGCAGCACTTTTTCGCACGCACGAATTATTTTCGCTATATTTTCTGCACTTTTTTCCGAGCTCTTGTCACGTACACTTTTTTCTTATTTTTATATTTTATCCAATATTTTGTCGTTAATAAATAAAAAGCGAAAATAAAAAATGAACTTCTTTTTTGGATGGTTTTCTGTGTTTATTCACTGGATTGTATTTTTCTGTAGGTTGAAGAGCAAACATTTAACACTGGCATTTTTTTAAAAATATTTTCATATAAAATTTTATTTTTTTTGCTTTTCTGAGTTTGTTGACAAATAGTTTTCTTTGGAAATGTAACCATAAAACGCAATTTACTTTTTTGAATTTTGTTTAATTTTATTACCTGTTAAAAAAAAAAACAAAACAAAATGATAAGCAAAAAACATAAAACAAAAACAATACAAACAAACAGAAAATCACAACAAGAACAACTATTGGCCTCCTGCTTACACACTCGCTAAGGTAATGAGCAAGCGCAGGCAGGAGAGCGAGAGAGTGAATGCAACGGAGACAACAGAGAGCGATAGAAGAAGAGAGAAAGGAAGAGCGACAGCTGCGGCGCAAACGCAACGAAATGCATTAAATTAATTATTGTTGCTTTTCAGATGATTGTTGTTGTTGCTGCTGTTGCTGCCGAATTACAAAATTAAATAAAATGTTTACAACGGTTTGAGAATGAGAAAACATAAAACACGGTTTTCATGAATTATTGTTAAACATAACTAAGCATTTCACAATATTGTTAGGCTAATTTAACATTGTTTTTTTATATGTTTACTATTTTTTGTTCTCTTCATATCCTTTCTTTCGGCTCTCTCTGTTTTATGTTTTGTTCTCTGATTGCCTGTCCCTCTCAGTCACTCGCTCTCTTTCTTGCGCTTTGTGTTTGCCCGTAAATTAAATGCGTTGAAATGCAGCCATTTTGTCTCCGCAATTGGCACTCACTTGAAACTCCCGTCGAATTTTCTGTTTAGCCACAATTCTCAATTGGCCAGAAACGGGGGCATTTTATTTGATTAGCGCACATTTCTGAAGCCCGACTTGGTGAATTTATTATTTATTTATTTATATTTTGCTCACCCGCTCGCACTCCTACACACAAACACAATCACACACGCACACATGCAAACGCACGAACACGCGTTCAGCGATTTTCCGACTTTCCGACTCCCACGGCGTTCCGAGATCCGTTTCAAAGAGATACGCGTCCAACTCGCTTGATGGTTTTTTTTAACTCGCCGTTGTTTGAATACATATGTGTATGTTCCACATTCAGTGTGGCCAGTCGCGGAAAGCTAAATTATGTTTAAAATTGCGTTCTTTCATGGTATTTTTCTTTCCTACAGGAGGGGTTACACTAGTTATTATGGTCACTCTAAAAGTTTTACTCTCCTTCTGGATTAATTCTCTCTCTTCGTGGTTTTTATTGTTATTTCTTTCTCCTTAATATCTTATGTGTACAAACCAAAGTAGACACATTTAAGCATTGTTAATTTTTTCATTATAAAATGAAATATATATATCTGCCAAGAAATAAATTCAGAATGCTAGTTTTATACGTATATTAAAAGTTTTCTATTTTATTCTAACAGCAAATAATTTTATTTTTTTAAGTCCGGCGCTAAATCCATAATATTTCTTCCTCCCTGGTGCAATTTATCGATATAAATCGTTTGCTAGGTGTCAGCTCTAACCAATATGACAGTGCCACCAGACTTATTGGTTTTGTTGGGCTCCCAATTGGAATGGTAAAATGTTTAAATTTTTAATTTAAATTGCACATTAAAACATTTCATATTTAGGGTTTATTTAAATCAAAGCTTCTAACCAATTTTACATTGGACTGATTGAATACGTTTAGACATGGATGAGGAATTACAAGATATTGATATATTCTGTATCAATCTTTTACAGCTTACAGTTGTTTTGCAAGTTTGCCAGGCAAAGCTACTACTTTCATTTAATTATTTTGTGCAATGATTAAATGTTTTAACGCACAATAACTTTTTGCTGATCTAACGTAAAATTAGGATCCCTTCATTGAACTGTCATTTCGAATTTCGCGCTTCCATTTGCATATTATCTCTGTTTAACTGGATTTTTTAGTGCTAAATATCGTAATGGTAAAAGGGGGCCTTGAGTTATATCACCTGGCAACACTGGGCCAGATGCTCCTCGTGCGTTGTTGCGGGTGGACGTGCCGCTCTCTTTCTCTCTTTCCGTTACCGTTACCGCCGCGTATTCGTGAGTCTGTCCGCGTTCCCCTGTCCGTGTGTGGGTGTGTAGGTGTTACTTGTAGGCGCGAATGTGTGTGTTTGGTCGCGTGTCGCCGCCGCTTTCATGTAAACGAAGATTGTGCAAAAGGTAAACGCCAAACGGTGGCAACAACAGTGAATGATAAACAGAAGCAAATAAACAGCAACAATAATACAAAAAAAAAAGCGAGCAAACAAAAGTTGTGAAATACTTTTTTTGTTGTTTTGTTTTTTTTGGCCTGGACTGGTGGCAAGTGGCAAAAGCTATAAAAAAAACAATTCTCCACAAAAAACAGGTTTATTGCGAGAGCAAAAGGAAGAGGAAGAGAAGCAGAGAGTGGAGCGAAACCATTTACTGCAAATGCGAATTTAGAATCTCGACGGCTGCCGCACAGTGGTCGCTTTGTTTCTAAACTTGCCCCACTGTTCGCCCAGAACTTGTTTTCTGCTTCTTTTCCGTATTCTTCTTATTCTTTCTGCTTGCTTGCCCCCTTCACTCTTCATCCTTTTGTTGATACTCCTTTCATTGGCTGTTTTAGAATGCATATAGATTGTTTATGGGAATCTCACATGCAGCGCTCCGAAATCAATACGAAAAACATTTTTTCCCCGAAAGAGCCGTTACTTTTCGGGAAAATCCCCGTTCCATTCCGCTGCCTCTGTCTCTGCCACAGAAATCAGCTGGCTCTGCAGTCGACTCCACTCTGCCGCCGTCGGCAGAGGAGGGACAGCGTCGGGCGCCTAGCAACAGCGGTTAACCTCCGATTCCAGGGACGGTTCACGGTTGAGGGCCCAAATTCTTATAAAGATAAATTCGGCAAGTTTTACTTTTTGCATATTTATGCCAGATGCCCCCGTTTTAATCTTACTATGAAAAATGTTAAGGGATTAAATATGTTTTAAATACCATCATGATAGTTTATCTTAAACAAATAAGACTAAAACTTGAATTCACCCGGAGTATAGTTCGTTTTTTGCGCCCCTGATACCATATAAATCCGTGCCTTTCCATTACCGCCGTCAGCTGTGCGATTAGTGCGCAGGCGCCACACACGCACACATCGAATGGGGCAGCTACAGGCAGCAGGATGGAGGCAGAAAATGAAGAAGAAGAAGCGGACCAGCCTGCTGGTTAACTGCCTGACTTTGGCCCGCAAAATTGCATTGCTGGCATCTCGCTCGCACGCACTTACTTCGGCAGTAATGCCGGAAAATGGGGGGAGACCAGTGAGGGGATAGAGGCTGGGGATTGGGGGAAGTGGGAAAAGCGATGTGGGCCGAAGTTCGCTGTTGGCAGTCGGCTTTACATAAGTTGACGTCCGTGGCAGGCGGTCCGCTCCTGGAATTCAGTGCCCGGCTGCAGGTCCTTTGCTCAGGTTGTGTGGACGCGCTTTTCAAATTTTCCGGAAGATCAGCTGCTGGCGCTTTGCAACTAGTTCGAATTTTCATTTTTTCTCCATCCTTTCCTGATTTTTAAAGTCAATTTAGTTTTAGTTTTTTTTCGCCTTATTTGTTCTGCCTGCAAACCGGCTGGAAATGGCCGAAAGGTTCGTCGACAGTTTTGTGTTTTTTCAGCTGTTCGGCTGGTAGTTAACAAAAAAATCGAAAAAAACAATACAAAAAAGTGGTTAGACCTCTTTTTTATTACACTTTAATTTGGATTTTTTGCCATTATTTAACTCATTTCTCAACTATTGCTATTTGCCGCCTGCGTGGGCCACTTTCAAAAGCTTTTTTTCGGGGCTTCCGTCGATTAATTTCGGCTTTATATATTTATTTATTTATTTATTTCGTTTCTCGACGAATCATAAAGCCAAAAAACTTGATTTGTGCGCACGGCCAGCCGTAAATCAATTTAACAATATCAATTCGGTCGTAAAACCGTTTGAAAAGAAACACGTCTAAACGAATTTATCCATATAATATATAATATATGCACATAAACACCATGCAGCCGAAGTGTTAATCGAGAAATTACAACAAAACCGGAGAAAACAACATGTGAGGCGGCTTAAAAAGTTAACTCAGCCAGTCGAAAAGATGGCCGCCAGGATGTGCAGCAGCGTTTCCATCGTCATCATCTAGATTTTAGATGCAGCAGCAGCCGCAGCCGCAGCAGCAGCCCAACAGCACTCACAGATACACACGGACACCAATGTCGATGGCAGCCAGACACTCGCACACCCAATACCAATACCAATGCCAGCCCCTCTTAAAGGTGAGTCGCACTTAAAGTTTTACATTTTAAATACCCTGCAGTCGTAAAATTGGGTGAACCGAGAGTCCCTCGAATTTCTGTTGCAGAGTGCGAAAATGTTTGCAATATTAATGCACCTAACTTTGACCTCTTTTGGTCTTCAAAGTTCATTTAAGTTATTGAAAAAACGTTTAATTATATTTGTGTTAGTTAGTGTGGAAGTGTCTAAGTTTTAGAGTGCAGCTGCATGTAAGAGAATAGGGTGAATATCCTTTATTCCTTATTAATATACAAAAAATGCACAAGCTTTTATAGACGTAAAAAGTTGCAATCATGGAAAATCGAATTATAAGGAAATAAATAATAATAATTAATATATATCTATTTTTGATATTTCAATTATAATGCCAATAAATAAGTGTCAATGTTAATATTATAAGGTTCCAAAAATAGATACCTATGTCATTAAATATAATAGCTTTTGGCTTATCTGTCGTAAAAATAAAACATTTCTGCAATGTCATTAAACACATCAGATATTTTGTATATTGCCCCGGGGAAATTATTTGAATTTCTTTTTAATTAAATAGGGTTGGGCAATAATAGTTTAAATGCAAGATAAGATTGCACATCACATTTATGGGGTTCTAGGGACAGAACACTAATAAAATAGCATTAAAGATAAATGTGGTGTTAATATGAAAATGGAATTTAATCTTTTAAAGAAGCCTCAATAAAAATATTTCGTTTGTTTGCCATCAATCCGATTACGAGCCCATTCTTTGCTCTTCTTGCTCCTTTTTTTAAGATAATCTTCAATAAATATACGTATATGCTGGCAAATGTATTTTGAAACCTTCGTCTATCAAGCCTTGTGAAATGTCCAATCAAGACGGGAATCGCATGATGAATGACCTCAGCATTCCCATCAATCTTACACAATTGTCCCCCCTCGCCAGCCAACCAAAATTTTTGCTTGAATTTCTTTGATATTTGGCGACCACTATACCACTATCCGTTTGTCTTCCGTGAGTTGATTTTTTGAGCTTGCGTGCTTAGAGCATCTCAAAGTCTAACATTTCTCTTTCGGGTTTTTTGTTCGGTTTCGGCAAAAAGAAACCCCAAGCGCGAATTTTTTATAACCGCTTGGAGTCGGAATTGGAATCGGATTTGAACCCGGGACGACGAAGCTGGGGGAGATCTGACCAGAGGAGAGTTCAAACTGAGGGCTGTCTTTTCCTTTTTTTTTTTTTGGTTTTTGGTCGCGAGAGCCCATTGAAAAAAGCTCGTCAAACCAGTCGCCGCCGTTTGTTTTTTTTGTTATTTTACTTTAGCTGTTTGTTTCCTAGGCCTGGGCAAACTGGCCCCGTTGATGACTTTTTACATAGACGCTGTTGGCCCGAAGAGATACCGACTGAGATACGAGAGCCAGCCAGTCAGCCAGCTAGTCATCCAGGCCCAGACTCAACTAACAGACAAAACAACAAAACAAAACACAACACAACACACGTATCTAAACTTGTTTGAAACGTGTTACATTTTAAGAACGTTCGCCGCAAGCGGCAAGTGGCAATAATCCTTTCAAACTTGACAGTGCTGCCATGTTTGAGAACGCGAAGGGCTTGTTGTGCCCCAGTGGAAGTGGTGGTATTGGATTCATGGATTCCCATTTCTTTTATATTTTTGTTCGTTAGCTGTAGCCTAGCGTGTGTATCGCATCGATGTATCTATGTATCCGGATCTCTATATGCTGGCTGTCAGTCTTTTTGGCTCTGCAGACATTTTGGCTGCCTTTGTTGTTATCATAATGCTTTTTTTTCTTCACTCTTTTTTTTTTTGCTCTGCTCACGGGTGCTCTCCTTTTAGCCAAACTCCCACACAAAATGGTCATAAAGAACGGACTAGGAGAACAAAATGGGAAAAAAGTGAAATTGATATTTTCGCACAAATTGCCGTTAACAAGGATTGGTAGTTGATGGATGGTAGGAGGGGTGGCACCTAGGCAACGAAAAATTTGCCTGTCAAAAATTGGTTGGAAAATGTATGCAGCGAAAATGAAATGGGGAGAAAAATAAAATAAAAACGGTTAGGTGCAAACGGGAAATTGTTTACCGTGGTTCCAAAATGATGTAATTTCGCGTGTTCGTGCAATTCAATTTCCTGCCAGCGGAAGCCCGTGTCGCTCTGTTCGCCCATTCAAGTCAAACATTCATTCCCGACCCCATCATCAGCCTCCCTTAACGCTAGTAGCCACGCCCACCAAACACCACCCCCATACAAACACACACACACACACACAAGAGCAAAGTTTAAAATATTGTCCAAAAATTGTTTGGCAATTTCAGTCTCGATTTATTTTTATACATATATATCGTTTGCCCCCTTAAACTTTAATTGCTTCGTTGAGCATACAGTGCCAACAAAAAATGAAGATGATATTTATGTATGTGCACTGCATATATACATACATATATATGTATATTCCGGGTACAACAAACATGTATTATGTAAAATTCAATTTAGCTGAATTTGCTATCTTAACAGCTCATCCGTTCTGGTCAGCAGCCTCCTCCTCCCCCTCCAAAGAGTCAATAAAATTTAGCGTATATCTTTCGGAAAATGAAGAGTAAATTTAAACTTGGCTTCGTTTACCAAACAGCTTGCTAAACATAATTAAATTAAAAAACGATAAAGCCAAAAATATATTTTAATATTAGGTGCGAAAGGCATGTCTTATATTACCTGAAAAATAAACATTTATTTGTTTAGTAACATAAATATAAATCTAAATTATAAAACCTCAAAGATATCTCACAAAAAAGCGTATTGAAAGTTCACTATTTATTTGATCATATAATTTCCACAGAATATTTGCCATATTTTCCATAAATAAATTATATTGAAAAGACATCCCCCCGTCGTCGCTGGCTGCCTCTCTCGATTTGACCGGGCCTGGCGGGCATTGCCTATATTAACAATAATTCCTTTGTGCCTGGGCATCTTGCCAAAAACCTTGGCGACCGCCTGCTCCTGGCACAGCAGGCGACGAACGTTTTGTGGCCAATTTCCCGTACCCAAAGGCCGACTTTTTGTGTGACCCATTGTCAAGTCAAGTCAAGTCGGACAAGGCCTACTCTTTCTCATTCTCTCTCTATCTGCCACCCGCCGCTGTATAGTATGACGTTTTGTCTAGAGTTAAACTCATACAAAAAAAAAAGAATAAAAGTTTGCGGGAAAAAGCAGTTGGGGTGAGCGAACTGCAAGCTTTGGAGTCCATGACAACCAGAAAGACTGCTGGAAGACCATTGATTGAACCTGGCCATGCGGTTGTCATGTATTTTTAAAGTTCCACAATCCGACTTTGTTTGAAGACGATAAAAAATATTCGCAAAGAGTATTTTACATCTGAGGAATTTATATTTCGGTATTTCATTTAAGTTCCTCAACTTTGATGTTAAATTTTATGATGAAAAAAATATGTTTCTTTGCTTAATTTATACTTACAGAAAACTAGATAGATAGCTAACTCCAATCAAATAATACTCAAAAGCGAATTAGTTTAAACAAATTTATGTTGGTTATTATTGTAGATGTAGTAGTAACCTCCGTTGAACTTCAGAGTGGCAAGTTCATAGTGCGTGGTTCCACTCAATGGAACAGCCACCCGCACCGGCGATGAGGTAAAACTGATGGTCCGGTAGAAGAAGGCGGTGAGGAAACTAGCACTGATGACGAAGGCCACAAAGAAACCCAAACAGAAGACACAATCCTTGTTGACCTGCAGGCAAAGGCAAAAGGCTGCCACAAAATCGCAGAAGTAGCGACCAATTCGCGCGCAGATCGTTCGCCGAAGCTGGGGAGGATTGGGTGGCAAATTGTTGCCACTGATGGTGATAGTGTGATGTTGGCGTTCACACGGCGGTCGATTTGGATCTGGTCTCCGAGTGGTCAGATCCAAACGCAATCGTCGAGGTTGGGAGTGTACTTCTGATGTCTGGGTGCCCAGCTCGCAAAATTCAGGTATTTGTAGATACACCGTTGGATGTGATTCACTTCGACCTTGAACTGTATTCAGATCGTATGAGACACGATAGAGTACGCCTTTGATTGGAATCGTTGCTTTACAGAGTTGATCCTTGGCAAAGGAATCCTCCAATTTCGGTCTCCTTTCTGCGGTCTGACTACTCGTGCTGGGCTGATCATCTGGATCAAAAGACATATGTTTGTTCTTTAATGGTTCTACATTCGACAGATTCTCCACTAATCTGTGATTTGAAGAAGCTTCTTCCGTCTCTGTGGCGCCTAAATTCGCATCTGGAAGATACACAACATTTGCCTGATCAACGGCAGGTGGCATATTAATTACTACTTGATCGTGAGAATCCGACGATGACAGGCATTCATCTTTATTGTTTTTACTCTCTTTCCGTTTATCCATTTATTTTGCGATGCTTAAAAACTGGCAATTTTTTTTGTGTTGATAATACCAAATTTGAAAGATGAATTTTAGTTCCGGTGTGATAGTTGTCATCGCATCGTATGGCCGAAATTATGTTGGCTTCAGTTGGTTGTAAAACATTTTTCGAAACTTTTCAAAATTTTTTCTGTGGACGCTATAAGCTTAATGGCGTGCAGAGAGCCACCACAGACTGCGATCGTCATTAACCTGCTGATTGGCGATTTGGTTCAGGATGCCGTAAATGAGCCGCTCAAATTGTCCGAGCAGAAGAACACCTGCCAGCGGCTATTCGACATTTTGGGCTTTCATGCCGACGAATGTTTTGACGACTTGGAAGGCAGTGAAATGGCTATAACACCCAGCACGGCCACCCTTCAGACCAGTCCAAAACCGCACTCGGTCGAAGCCAACAAAAGGAATTGGTACGGTTGGATGTCCAAGGCATTGGAAGGTAAGCATTTGAGAACTCGTCGTTATATTATACAATTTGGTTAAAAGAATTGTAAGAAATGTCTAAAACCTGCAGAAAATTCTGAGGACGATGTTGAGATCTTTAGCAAGGCCGCCATTGATGAGCCCAAAAGTATCCATTCGGTTGGAGTGCAGACGGAGCAGCCACGCCGGCGTATCAGATCGTGCACTGTGGACTTTGTCCCAGCTCCAGCCCCCTGCGAACTGACCAGACAAACGATCTTCATTGATGCTATTTCCGTTCCAATACCAAATGTCTTGGGTCGACCGCCACTGGCCGATCGCTTTTGCTATATGTTGACCGATTTCGCCTCGGCATTATATTGTAGTCTTGCCATTATGTGTTGTTGCACTCCCAGTATGTTGAGATAAATTAAAGGAATGGACAACTCGCCTGGGCCAAATCGCCACTCGGGTTTTCTTTTTATTTGTTCAAGAGCCAAACGTCATTTTTTATTACAATTACTTTGCCTGAACACTGCGCATTAAATTCCGTTTCAAGTCTATTTGCTGGCTGACATTGGTCTGCAAGGAGCTATAAAAGTGGCTCAACAACAAGTAAAGACACCATAGGCACAAGGCAATAAACAGAACAATCGTGAGATTCTCGCCGATCATGTAGGCACAGGCGATCATAGTATCGCCCGTCTGGACAAGGACATTCCACATCCGTTGACGCAGTGGAGGTCTCTGCATATCCGTGGCCGATGTCACCGATTCCACTTCGATGTGGATCGTGTGCTGCAGGACGTTGCTTGGTTTCTCCGTTTCCGAATCTATACCTTCGTTTAAAGCTGCTAATTTCGGTTCTAAATCCCAACAGTCCACTTGTCTCTGATCCACGGCAGTCCAAGAAGTCTGGCTGCTCACCTCACAGGTGGGCTTTATTGTGATATCTGATAGCTGAGTGAGACTTGATGCTCTTTGCTGCATATTTTCAGCCTCTGTAGAGAGTATATGATATTACAAACTAAATAAATATAAAATGTTAGGAAAAACTGTCGACTTAAAGGTAATTAAAAACGTCTGCCTCGTTTGACATTGTGTGACCAACATTCTTTGTTTTCTCCAAAGAAAAATTCATCTTACCTTCCTTCAAAACTAACTGCTCGGACCGGACTCGCCTAAGCCGAAATGGAGCGCCAAGATGATGCTCATTCTCATTGTCCAGGAGTTTGGTGTAATCTTCGAACAAATTGAGTAGTTCAGCGAATCGCTTGGTAATCTGGTTATGGCTCAGTTGAATCTCGGTCAGATAGCTGGTGAGTGGGTTATCTGGAAGCTTATCATCTCCATTCCCTATGTTCCAACCAACTAGTGGCTTTCCCTTTGACCCACCGAAATGGTTCTCCACCGGTGCCGCTATGGTAGTGCTATCATCTCTAGAGGTGCCAGTCTTTGGTTTCAGCATGTGGAGAGCTTTTAGTCGGTCGTTGCCGTTTTGATTTTGTGTGTTTAGTCTGTGAAAATCATGAGTGTGAGAATATAAAGTGAATAGAATTTATTTTCAACCATTCGTGTCATTTTGAAAACTGTCTGCCTCAATTTATTGCAAGCAAAGGGTTGCTTTATCTGCATCAAACGACTTGAGGCAGACCGGCAATTGAGCCTCGTTGGCCAGTGGATAATTTTTGCGCTAAATTAAGCAATTTCCTTTCCTGTCTGGCCGGCAGGTCGAAATGCTTCTGTCCATCGACACTTCAGGGTCGGCACTCGTCTATGGATTTTCCCTGTCTAATATGACAATTATGACGGTCTACTGCGCTAATGTTATTTTGCATAAGTGCATTCTAAGAACCAAGTCAGACCAAAGGGTTCGTCCTACCAGTTTAAGGTTTTTCCTGTGTTTACTTTTCAAGCGTTTATCAAAGCAATGAATATTCAAAATAAAAATAACAAACTGCAATGAATGAGTAATGGAAATTCGAAATAATAACAAACTACAGTCAATAAGTCAATAAAGCAGATTGTGCTTTTGTACCATGAAAGTTAATTATAAAAGTTTTAATAATTATTTATAAAACCTCGCACTTCCGCAACATCAAAGTTTAAAACTATTCATTCTATTTCCCACGAAATTTCAAATCCAATATCTGCTTTAATGTGAAAGCACAATAAATTAATGAAAATAAAAACTTTCGCTTCTGGCCACCCATAAAGTGTCATTTTATGATCTGATATATATGTTTTTTGTTCATATTCGCTTTAGAACCAAATTCATCCCCCAGATTTAAACCACAATTTCCGTTCAATGGCAAAAAGCTGTCTCCGTATATTTCATAATTTGTTCTGGGGAAACTTTTCGATGAAACTCTATTAAAGCAGGGACATAATAAATTCATGGAATATCTCGAGTTGTCTGCTGAAGGGGAATATATATATGTATATATATCTATATCTATATAAACATATATAAATGGCATGTGGACAGTGTACGCACATTTGCAGTGGAGAAAAAAATCTGTAGAATGGGTTGGAAAATATCCCAATCCTGTCTGTAGTAGTAAGTCCTTTGGGCGTCCAGTGCGCACCTGCTACTCAGTGGTCGTGTTTTTTGTGAGGGTGGGAAGCATCTTTTGCTCTGGCCATTGTTATCATTTAAAAGGCTTAAGTGCGCCGAAGATTTATATTTATATTTGAAAGGGAAGGGGAAGTGGAAATGGAAGTGGATGGAATAAAACGACAGTCAGTGGGAATCTCAGTGTCCCTGCGACGAGAAAATAAGATAAACGTACACTTTATTGATTTTCCACTCGCATGTGCCGACCAGTGTGTTTGCCTTTGGATGCTGTTGATGCTGTTGCCATGGACTGCATTCTCTACCCCTCTGCTACTGCTACTGCCACAGCCACTGCCTTTGCCTTTGCCCTTTGTGGCGCAGTTTTGTCGCCTGTCCAAAAAATGGGGAGTTGGGAGTGGGATATATGTATGAATAGAGGGGGCGGGTGTTGGTAGGGCTATATAGGATGATAGGAGGAGATGTGGGTGTATACAGTGGGCTTAACTGGGCAGCCAACGCCTGCGCTTGATTCATCTGCCAGTTGATTGGTGTTTGTGCGAAAGTGTTGAAGCAGAACAACTGGGATTGAGTGGCCGCCATCCTTTATCCTCCAGTTCACCCCTTCGGCTGTATGTTAAGCTTTATTTGTGTTGCCTACTTTGAGGCTGCACCGAGGGGCACACAAATCGATCGTGCTGTCGCTTCCATATATTGGATTTACATAAAGCCCATTCTGCAAATGCATTTCACGAGAGTCCAGGTTTACTTTAATCTCAGTTCACTTTTAATTACATTATGATGGACATTGGTTCTTAAAAAGAAGAAAATTCAAAACAAATTAAGTGTTAAAAGAAAATAAATAAATTGTATTTATTTTAAGATTAATGATGATTTAATGCAGCTCTTATGCAGTAGTTTTTTTTACGTTATAAGTCTTATTACTTAAAACATATGCTCCGTTATTGTTCTCATTTAAAAATATCGTTAATTAAATCGTCGTCCTTTGTGTTCCTCTTAGCTGTCCCAATTGCTTTTTTGGCAACCTTCCTGATTACACTGTCCAAAATTCCGTCGGCCTCTTTCTTGGATTTATGAGGTGTTGCTGATTATTCTCGATGCCGCACGATAAAAATATATATATATATAAATCTATAGCCTAAATGCTGCAAGTGGGCAAATATAGTAGGCGTCTAACCGTTGCCAAAAGTCCCAGTCCGCGCTTTCGCCTGGCCAGCTCGTAAATAATATTTGTTTAGAGATATTTCGGCCTTAATGCTTGTTTGTTTCCTATTACTCTGGGCCAGCTCGTTTATCATCTTGGCCAAAGCCAGCAATTTCGGATGCTGCAGGAGCAAAAAGGACTTGAGAGTGGCGCAGCATGCATTCAATTAGCGCCTGGCAAGAATCGCATTTTCATCGTGCCACATAATCATAAGGGTCATAATTTCCCAACTTCTATATGAAAAATGTTGGTCAAGATCTGGAGATAGTTAGGTTTAAGTTTCAGCTGCTTAGTTAGTTAGTTTCTAGTTTACGAGATTTATTTTACATGAAGAAATACATTACAATCTTATTTAAATCATGACCACTTTTCTGGTATATATCTAGTAAGTGTATGAACTTCTGCCTGAACTTCTGATATTTCAACTGAATAGAGTAATGTTGTAGGATGGTTCATTCTGTTATACAAACAGAATAGAAGTTGATGTCACACTCACTTACACCTGCCAGAGACTTCAAAACGTTGTCAAAGCGCTTGCCACTCTTGTCTATGGCAAGAGGTAAGTGAAATTTCCTAGTGAATCCCCAGCAAGGATCCCCGCCTATTCCCATTCCCCATGTTCCATGCCCCATCCTTGTGGCAATCAGTAGCTGGCTATTTTCTCACCTGGCCACTTGCCGCTCAGACATGGCCCGCTGCTGGTTAGTTGGCATTTAATGGCATTTGACACTCTTCACGGTGTCTGCAAGCAAAAACATCACAAGCAAATACAAACTAGAAGAAAAAGGGCCAGGTAAGAACGATGTATTGTGGAGTAACCCGACCGTAAAATACCCGGCACTTGGTTCGTTAAATGCCTACTATTATGGTACAAAGAGAAAATGTTCTTTAGACATAGAAATTTAATTAATAGAGTAAGAAAAGTAACTAAAAAAAGCGTTCTTCTCATATTTAGAAAGAACACCTTGTAATAAATAACCTTGTAACTGAAGTGAAAACTTGTAATATCAAATAAATAGTATCTTTGATTAACTTCTTAAGAATGTATGTAAAAATGAATATCTTCCTGTAAATTAAACTGCCAGAAATACAATATATCCCTTAGAATACCGCTTAAAAAATGGGATTATAGAGAGTAAAATAGACGTAATGGAAATATTGCTAAGAAAATCAATAGAAAACGGTGAAGGAGAGATGGAAGGACAGGCACCAGGCTGCATGGAGCCGGTCGAGCACTTGCCTAATGAAGTTGTTCCTTAAATCGGGGAAGGCATCGAAGGGCCACCGAGGCAGGAGTAAAAAAGGAAGCATTTTGCTCGGGTGGTCGGTCCCCCAGACAACAGCAATAACAACATCAATGCACTTAATGCTCTTGTTTGCTTAACTTTATTTGATGTCCTGGCCTCGCTTATTTTTCCCATACTCTGCGTTTCTCATATGTGTGTGTGTATAAGGAAAAGCCACGCAATTTTCCATGGCTTTTGGCTTTTGTCTTTTGCCCATATGTACAAAATGTAATTTGAAGACAGTAGAAAATTCCGATTAGAGGCCACTGATTTGTGATTGCTGATTTTATCTGAGGAATGCTGTGCTAGCTATGCGTATATATATTTTCCAATCAAAGTTCTCACAAGAATATATATATATGTTACAAAATGAAACTAAACTGAATTCCTTTAGAAATTTAAAAATATTTGTCAGCTTAATTTCTCGGAATAACAATTTATTCAGAGCTTGCAAAGTGTATTTAATTATTCAGCTTGTCTTACCCTAACTTTCCCTGTTATTTTTCTTGCTGGGCTTGTTATTGTTTTCCAGCGATGACTATGTTGTTTACAAATGAACGCAGCTTACGCAGCACGAACAGCAGGACACAAGGACTTTTCCCTGCCTGCCTTCCTGCCTGCCACATGCTGACCATTGGGTTCTTGCAAAAACAAAAAAAAACAAAAACAAGAAATGTAGAAAAAAAGAGGAGGGAAAAGAGGTGGGGATTAAATAAAAACAGGACATCAAATTGCTGGTCTCGAGTGTAATGCATTTAGCGTTGGTAAGGAAAATATTCGCTGTCCGATATGGCTTTCGCCATAGTTCCTGTCATGCCTTGTTTTACCGAATACTTGGCTTATTTTGCGGTCAAATTAATGCAGCTGCAGGAGGCAGGACAGCGAGGATGTCTGGAACTCGTTCACGGTGCATGTATTTTTAATTAATTGCATGCTCCTTCTCTCCCTTCTCGTTCACAAAGTGGCAGGAGTTGAGTTTTCCCGGCCATCGCATGCCATGTCCTCCCATGTGGTCAGATGGTCGGTCCGCCTCTCGTCCTCCGTACGCTCATGACCATGTTACTACGGGTTTTCTTGCCTTCTCAACTGAACGTCTGTGGAAGCGTTTGTGTGTGCAGGAACTCCTGATACATTAATAGGTTTATTTCAACTTTTTTTTCAAGTATCCTGGATTGGCATGGCTACACGAGACGTCGGTATCAATTATAGAAGAAGGGAATTAATTATTACTTTACAACTTAAGTAATTGATTTAAATTTACAATTAAGTTAGGAAAGTTTAATTTGATTTTGGCTTTAAAAACAATTTTTAAGGATGAAAATGGGTTTGAAGTGTTTTACGTAAAACCATTAGGTGTGGCTTCTAAAGTAGATCTTGGGGATTGTCTTTTCTTTAAATAAGATTGAAAGCTGATAAATTATCATTCAAAGAAAACTTAAAAGAAATTGCAATCAAATTCTATATAAAAGAGTATTTTATAGTTGCCTAGAAAATTAGTTTAAAAACTTGTTGTTATCATTATTTTTCACTATACAGGTGTCAAAAGGGTGACTTTTCAAATTTCGGGCAACATATTTTGATTATCGATTTTTTGTTTTGTATATTGGTACACTCTTCCCTAACATCTGTACCAAGTTTCAATGGAACATCCTCTTTTGTTTGGTTGTGAGAGGCGTAAAGTTACAAGTTGTTTTGCGAGCTCGGCGATTTTTTGCTATCGAAAAATATGGATCAAAGGATTTGGATTTTTGGCCAAAAACAACACCACAATAATGCCTCAGCCACCATATTCACCGGATTTGGCCCCATGTGACTTTTCTTGTTCCCAAAACTGAAGATAACGAAAATTGAAAAATTTGAAATTGAAAAGTCACCTACTTTTGAACACACCTCGAAAACTTCTAAAAGGTTTCGATAATCGAAAAATTTGAAATTCGCGAAATTTGAAGAGTCACCTTACTTTTTGAACACACCTCGTAGTGATTCGACGATTTTCCAAAACAATTTTCGTCACTGCTTGAACGTTTTCATCAGTTGTTGACGTGCTTGGGCGTCCAGAGCGAGGCTGGTCATTGGCATCTTCCCGGCCATCTTGGAAGAGTTTGTACCACTTGTACACATTTTTTTTACTCAGAACAGTTTCACCGTATGCCACTGTCAACATTTCAAGTGTTTCAGAGCACTTAATTTTATTTTTACACAAAATTTGATGCAAATCCTTTGATCCATATTTTCGATAGCAAAAATCGCCGAGCTCAAAAACAACTTGTAACTTTACGCCTCTCACAACCAAACAAAAGAGGATGTTCCATTGAAACTTGGTACAGATGTTAGGGAAGAGTGTACCAATATAACAAAACAAAAAAATCGATAATCGAAAAATTTGAAATTCGCGAAATTTGAAGAGTCACCTTACTTTTTGAACACACCTCGTATGACCGCAAGTCAATGCCACCGCCGCCATCACCAGCAGCGCTACATCATTTGCGGTTAATTGTAATTAAAGTTCAGTGGTATGCTCCAACGCACACATGTTGCCCCATCCATTCGCTGGCAAAGTTTTCTGCGTTGCCACCGCAAAATACCACACCATAGGATATCCTGTGCGAGCTCAGCAATCCGTGTTCATGATGTCACAAGTAAAGCAAACAATTTGAAACAATTCGATACGCAACCAAGCAAGCACACATTGTAGTTTCTGCCCACCAGCCCTCCTCTATCACATATAATTTTGGCAAACCAAATTTCTGTGACGACAATAAAACGTTCTAGGATCTATTATCTGGCCAAAAACAAAAAAAAAAAAAAACAATGCCGGAAACGAAAACCAAGAGGCTATGCAGCCCAAGCAATGGCCTCGACCATCCGGATGAGGACGACGTCATTGCATCTGCCAATCGTCTGGTTCTTCGCTCCCGCAGTCCCAGCCGTAGACACCCACGGAACCCCCATCGCCAGCGTCCACCGCAAGGTCGTCGAGATGCCACCGACTTTACGGCCAACCAGGAGGTGCGGCTGAAGGCCGGCGACATGCGCATGGCCAGGATGCAGATCAGTCTCTCCAAGCTGAGCACCGAAATGGAGGAGTCGAGCAAACAGCTCATGGACCTCTGCAAGGCGGTGCGGGTTGATGTGGATGCCGAGTAAAGGGTTGTGGATGTGTCCTGGAAATTCATTAAAATTTCCTATAATTTAGTCAAAATCAAGTTCTTATCAGGAATGTCCTTCGTGTTTAATAAATAATATATTGTTTTCTAAATATTTTTGGCTTTTACTAAGAAAGCTAGATATTGGTCATTATTCCTGCTTTGATTTATATTAAAAATCATTTGGGAAGTCTATAAAAATTCTGGTATATTCATAGCAAATATACGAAAATAATTTCTCCTTATTTTTTCAGGCTGGATGGATCCCATGTCAATTTCATTTATGAGTTTTAGCATTAAAACAACCGAAGCTCATTCGAAGCCCACCAAAAAGCATTCGGTTGCTGTTCCACGGAGCCCACAAACAGAGACAGGTAAATATATATATTTATATATATCTATATATAAGTTGCATTCATATGTTAATATATGTAAACCCGGCTTTCTCATAATTCCCGGCCCCAAATCCCTTTTGCACTTGGGAGTTTGGTTGGGGAAAGCGTGATGGCTTGATTTAAATTAAAAATTTATTGCATATTTTTTTGCTCCACCCATCATTGCATATTGCCCCTGTGTGCGTGTGGGCACAGTAAAAAAATGTGCAAGTTTGTATTTAAATTTATATCGAGAGATGTGTGTGTGTGTGTGTGTATATGTATAAATTAAATTTGTGTGCGCCTGTGAACGCGCACAGGGCCAACAACCGGCAACATGCATGAACATGCCATGAACTCGAATTTCCAACGCCAACGGGTTAAGGATGTCCTCGCCCGGGGAAAACTGAAAGATATATACAATGTAGAGAGAGGGGGTGGGAGGAAGGGTGACTGAAGGTATATATACTTGCTGCAAAGGCAAAGGAGTCATGGTGGGTGCTCTCTGTTGAGTTAAGGGTCTGGCGGTCTGGCACTTCAGCAACCGTTTTGATTACTCGCATGTTTTCGCGTGCAACTAAATTAGCGCACGTGTAATCAAGTTCTTTTCGCTGAAAAAACAACGAAAAAATATGGCAAAAATATACGTACATCGAAGCTTGTATGGAAGGAACTAACTCCTTGCACACAAAGTCCCCATCCATTAACCTCTGGGTTCATATTTTTGTGCGGTGTTTGTTGTCGGCAGGATGTTTAAACTAAAGTAATTGATGTTCCCTTGGATGACATATTTCACGAAAAGTGGAAATTCGGCAATAAATCATCCCAATCATGTTATAAAATATTCAACAGACTGGCCAGGAGAATGGTGCTGCATTAGGTTACATATTATTTTACATTGTCCTTTAAGCTCAAAGTTTTCAGGAACTTTAAACTAGTTTTATTTGCAGAAAGGGGTAAGAACACACGTACAATCCATTAATCTAAAACTTGAAGTTTTGTAATAATATTTTATTGTTTTGCTGCAGAAAGTGATAATAAATGGCGTCCCATTTGGGGCATTAAGAAAACAGTTTTTACAGTTGAAGATTGAAAAGTTGTTAGATTTATTTATCACCTTTTACGTTAATACTTTTAATGGATCCGTTGAATATGGAATAATTTTTCCACTTGCAATGAATCTAGCCCTCATTTTCTGATTTATAATGTATTCAATAAGAGACCGAAACTTTCCAAGAGGAACAAACGAAGGGAAGTCCTCCTCATTCATTGTCATGTTCTTCACTTCATAGTTCACATTCTGTAAAAGAAAATGATACAATTTTTATTGTTTTGCTAATCTGAAAGCCCAACTTACCGCTTGAAAGGGACACTTAAATTTCACGGTTGAATGTTTTTTCAAGCTCTTTACATACATATTGAACAATCGGTTTTTGTTGGCATTTTCCAGGATATAACAGCCATCCAACTCAACATCATACAGTTTCATCTTCTGCTTACTGTTCAGTTTCCAGAAATCCATGGCAGCATGAACCCTCAGATCTTCAACCTTATGCTTAAACATATGACTGGAATCGATGTAGGTCCGATTGTTAATCTGATGCACTTTGCATTCAACGTTTTCATAAACGTCTCTATCGACATTCGTAATGTTAACTTGGTCAATGATAACCCGAAAGTTTCTTTCCTCACTCCTCACACAAGTAAATATGAGAGAGAAGCAGCCGATCCAAAACCAAAAAATCATGACTGCAGCTAAAAGCTTACTGCCTACTGAGTTACTTCCAAATTGAATTTATAAAAATATAAAATCATTTAAAAGTAATAGGTCTGTTTTGTTACTTTATGACCCATTAGCATTTATTAAGGCGATTAATTTGATTATAGTAGACAGGATGCCATTAAATACCAGTAACATTTTAATTTGTGTGTTAAATAAATGTAATTTTTTAACGGCCCGATCGACTACGAATCACACGGCCATGGATAGTTAATTGCAGAACTTTGCGCTTTTTAACGAAAATATTGCAGTCCGAGAGAAATTTTAATTCGGGGACATAGCTGGGTATTAGCTTTGAGTTGATTGTAAAGCCATTTATGAAATATCTCTTGTTCTTCAAAGAAAAATATATATTTTATAAATTGTTTTAACATTTAAAGATTTGGCTTACCCTTTTAAATGGACATTGCAATGGAAAATTTGAAACTCGCCTCAGCTCGTCGGCAATCATCTTTAATAAAAATTGTTTTTGTAAAGATGCCAACGCCTCGCAATATTCAATATCCATTGCAGTGTAGTTGGTTAGGGTTGAGCCTCGCTTTATGGAAAATACGTAAATGCCTTTTGCGTCACTAACATCTTCCGTCAAGGAAAACTCTGCTGAGTACGATGATGCACCAAGGGATGTTCGATTTAGGTGACAGCTTACGTTTTTCACAAGTTCTGGCGAATGAACGGGACACGCAATTTGCGTCATATAAGCCTCCATCTTGTGTAAAAGATTGTTAAATTGGTTTAATTTAATGTTAAACAATACCAACCCTTGACGAGGCGCTGCTTCTAATGATTGTACATAGAAATATCAGGATAATCGCAGGTAGAATGTTAACAGGTTTCATTTTAGCGGTTCAACATTATATGATTAAATATTTAAAACTATATCAATAAAGCATTCATTTTTCAAAAAATAAAAAGTAATGCATTTTTAATTGATTTTAAATTACATAGTAATAATGTTTAAAATCGTTTTCTAATGATTTCATTGATTTTAGGTCGCATGGTCGTGTAATGAGCCATAAAATGTAAACTATATTCTGCAGTAAATACCTCAAGATAAACATAACATCATTTTGTGAATTGATTTAGACACGGTTTTATTTTTCATTCAAAATATCTCGTAAATCGTATCTTAATTATCCAAAATCTGTTTAAAGCTTGGGCTGTACTTTTCCGTGGACTATAACACGAGTTCCAACAAAGGTTTCGTTTTCAAAAAATTCACTTTGGCACCGAAATGTTCCGGACGGCACGAACGATGGAAAATCTTGTTCATCCATATAAAGTCTTTCAAGCGTATAATTAAAGTTCTGGAGGTGGAAATTATTGTTTTATTTTACAATCTTTTTTAAGTTAAAAGTTATACTTACCGCTTTCAGTGGGCATTCTAAGTTAGAGAACCTTTTAAAGTTCTTGGAATACATGTTTAAAAATCGATTTTTATGAAAAGTTCCCATGAGAAGGCAGGCATCCAATCGAGCATCGAATAACTTCATTGATTGACCATTTGGTTTCCAAAAGAACAATTCAGTTCTAACACTCACCTTTTCGAGTTGGCGGTTTAACAGCATTTGACAATTTATATAACTGCGATTATTGATTTGTGATACCTGGCAACCCAAATTATCCACTAAATCCCTATCGATAATCTTTGTGTTGACATAATCGATAACTATGCGAAAGTTTCGCTGCGATGTGCTCACACATTGCAAAATCAGAAACCAGCGGAGCGGTAACCAAGTTCTCATCTTAAACGCTGTTTTTGCAATGATAAAGCTCTATTTAATGATTGTTATTTTCAACCGGATGAACAAGTAATTTTATTGAAGTGCTTGATTTATTTTTTGGCTTGTTAAATGTATTCATCAATTTGCAATTGGCTTATCGTTATATATTGTTATAAAAAACAATGCTACTTTTTGTTTTATTTTGTATTTAAAACAGTGCAACGACCAAAGCCCAATAAAAGAAATATACTTACAAATAACGTAACATAGTTTTTAAACCTGTAATCTAAATAATCATAAATTTAGTTCTTAATTTCTTCCCAGGTTAAAAAATTTTATTTAAAATCAAGCCAGATTGCTTTTGCTTACAACTTATTGATATATCAGCAAACATTTTTATTTATTTACAATAACTTTTCCTTGCGTGACTATTCGCAATGCCAATCGTTCTTGGGTAAAATACTCAGTAACAGTGCGGAAAGTACCGAATGGGACAAAAGGCGGAAGATCCTTCTCGTCCAAATTCCAATTTGTCAGTCTATATGTATAATTCTAAAAACATATTATAAGTTAATGTCTTTAGTGATATAAAAAATAATTGACATTCGCTCACCATTTTTAGGGGACATGTAAAATTCGAATTTATGTGTTTTCTGAAGCTTTTCACGTAAATGTTAAACAAACCATTTCGATGAGCAGTTTTCAAGAACTGACAGGCATCGAAGCGACCATCGTACAGTTTAATTTTCTTGTTATTGTTCGTCTTGGAAAAGTCCATAGTTGTATGCAAAAGAATATCGTCGACATCAGTCTTTAACATCATCTCACCGTTAACGTAGCTCCGATTGTTAATATGAACGAGACGAAAGTCAACATGTTCGATGAAATCGCGTGATTTGTACTTAATTGAAAACTCATTTAACTTTACTCGAAAGCCACGCTCTTCGGACTTTAAGCAAATGTGGTTGCTAAACCACAGAATCCAGAACAAAGTGTTCGTGGCCAACGCTTTCATTTTAATGCCGCTCGATTCCAATTAGGAGTGCTGATTTCATGGATGGGCACTATGGAATTATTGTACCCTCAATTAAGAACTCGTCAATTGATAATATAATCATTTTTGTAAATTAGTATAGTTTCGAAAAAAATGTTAATTTCAAAGTAAATACAAAATTCTACCTTATCAAATCGTTTAAGTGGATTTTTTTGGTACCGATATAAGTTCAAGGCTTATCTGTTTTTATTTATATATCGATATATCTGATTGTTTTGCGTGATTTATCACAGTTTTATAACACATTTTTTATGACTTAGCCAGAATTTCGCCACGTGCTACAAAACGTACTAGCAGTCGGTTTTGGGTGAAATATTCTGTGATCGTACGGAATCTACCGGCTGGTACATATGGTGGCAGATCCTGTTCATCCAAATACCAATCTACCATTTTGTAGGTATAGTTCTAGAACATAAATACATTGATTATAAAAGGAATCAAATTTGAATTGTTGTAAACATACCGCTTTAAATGGACATGTCAAAATGACATTGGCGTGCTTTTTAAAGCTCTTCACATATAGATTAAATAGTTTATTTTGGTGTATACTTCGCAGTAAGACACATCCGTCCACACGAACATCGTACAACTTTATTTTATTTTGAGCTTTCGGCTTCCAAAACTCCATAGTAGCGCGAACATTGAGATCTCCAACATCCCTTTTGAGTACCATCTCACCGTTGACGTAGCTCCGATTATTTAATTGATTTAATTGGCAATTCACCTTGGCAAAAATATCTGGCATCTTATATTTGATCGCGAATTCATTAAAGTTAATTCGAAAGTTGCGCTCATCGCTGGTAGCCAAGTCCATTAGGACGTATAGTCCCCATAATAAGTACGACGTTTTCATCGCTAAAGTTTATACCATAATGCCCTTTGAATTTTTAACAGGTGCTTTTTGAAGTTCATATATATTACTTCATTTAAGATGCTTCCTATTGATAGTATTTTAAGCTAGGCATTTTTGTACCTAAGTGATTACTGATGTGTGAATATTTTTGTTTTAGTGGGATCATTGAAGCGGAGAACATATAAGTGTGATCTAAAATAATCTCATAATTTGCAAGCCACATGCAGATTGGTTTATGTCACAGTAATTATTGAAATCAGTGAACCACATCCCTAATACACAATCAATGCTCTAAATATTGCCAAAACTGTTAGTTTTTTTTTATTATAAAAACACAGAATATCTAGATACCATGGTTTGTCAATGTTTAACGAGCAATTTTCCATCAATTTGCATGTGAGCCAATAACTTTGATTTGTGTTGAAATGACATTTTCAAACGATAAGTACACTCCGGAAGTAGATCTGGAATCAATTGCTCGTCGATATAGGCTCTAGTTAAAGAGTAGTTGAAATTCTAGAACAAACGAAAAAAAGTTTTAATTTGAAAGAAATATTAGGTTTTCCCAAAAAGTATGCTACAATTTTGAAATGTCAATAATTATTGAATATATAAAACATCTTTTTAACTCACCGGCTTAAGCGGGCACTTGGGCTTAGAATTGAGAAAGTCTGCATAGCTATTGTAAAGCATTCTAATAAACTTATTCTTATAACCATTATTAAGGACCGAACAGAAGTTTAATTTCACATTATAGAGGCGCATTTCCGGGCGTGGAGGACGTAAGATGTCCATTGACGAAACAACTGTTAAATCATTAATCAATCGATTAATCATCATATGGCCCGAGAGATAACTGCGATTTGACTCCTGTTCGATGATAGCATTCTGAGATAGGAACAGGTCGTGATCATCCGCGGTAAACGTGAACCGATCCACATAGACCACATGGCCACACAAATAGCAGTTGATCAGCGAACTGAGAACGAGTAGACTGAGTTTATGGAGAGACATTTGGAAGACGGTTGTCTTGGCCACTGGATTAACGACGACGACTACGGACCAACAACTACTAATGGGGTATTCCATTGTGCTGGTAATTATGAGCTGACGGAGCAAGCCCTAATGGCTTTTTAAATGGTGTCGTCTGGTCTAAATTGCCGCAATCTCTCAATATGTCAACAATACGTATTCATATACACATAAATAATTTTTTCCATTTGGTTTTTTTTCCAACGTTCTTTTTGGGTCTTTGAGTTGCTTTCAGAAATGCAAAAAAAAAAAGTAAAAAAGAGGAAAAGTGTGTATGCTTGCACACAAAAGTAAAATGAAAATGTTTCACGTATGGAAAGATTGAGTTGAGAAGGCGGCTAAGTACATAAAAAGAGTAAAAAAAAAGAAATCAAAATAAAAAAGGGGAAAAGAAAGAGAAACCTCTTTTTATCGACTATAATGATACCCAGTATCAAATCGGTTATGAAACTTGACAGATTACTGTTTGTAGCCAGATCGAGAAAACTGCGAAAAGTTTTAGTTCGTTTTACGTTTAATTACTATTGAGAAATATTTAGATTTTTGCTTAAATATAACCCTGTTTGGTAGAAAGAGTTGCATTTTTTAAGAGCTCTTAAACTTATTTAGTTAAATATATTCTGGGAACAAATTTCAATCAAACCTAGGAAAATCAATGGTTTGAAACGATTTTCAATGATTCATTATAAAAAGTAAGATATTTGAAGGTTAAAATAGTTTAATACTATATGCTCGCATGTCGAGTACACCTTCACATATCTTGCCGTGTTCAGAGCCCGAAACGCGACCCCAAGGATGTCAACAGAAATGTTAATAACACCAGCGCTACCGCCGACACGAGCTGCAGCTAGAAGGATCCAAGGATGGGGCTTGGCAACAAGGATGCAGATGGGCTGGATTGCCTGGCTTGCCAGCCAAAGCAAAAAAAGAAACACAGAAACAGTGGCTGGCCGTAAAACAGAAAGGCAAAGCGCAGCAGAGTGGAGTAACGTAACGCAACGCACAGTAAAGTAAAGTAAAGTAAAGTGAAGACGAGTCAGGCATCGCGGGCGGCCCAGTCGAGTGTAGTTCAAACATCACACCTACCGTCTGGGATCTGGAGAGTCTCGACTCGTCTGCGGATGGTGCTGTGGTCCATATTATGTAAACATTTGCGGGGCTTGAATTTTTTTTCACATATTTTTTTTTTTGCCTTCTTCTGAGGTCCCTCCTGTGCAGATCCCAGCTGGTTACCATGGCTCCTGGCGGAGTGCGTGTGGGTGTGGGTGTTGTTTGGGTTTTGTGGATTCCTGTCTCAGGGCTCTCAATCGAAAACGTGTGCAAGTTTTTGCATGACACAACAGAAAGTCTTGCATTTCTTTTAACTAACGAAAACCCATTTTTAATCACTCAGTTTTGTAATGTGTACGCCGAAAGAGAGGGTAACACTCGCACTTAATAATTACATCAATTTTACATCAGAATTTATAATTGTATATTAACTTATCTTGATAAGAAATGAACTTAGAAGGTAAAAAGTAATACCATTAGAAAAATGGTCTTTAATTTGGTTAGTAAATTCAATCTGTCCAAGTTTATTGAAAATTCATTCATTCCAATTATAATGCCATGTAATTTGCAACAAATCACTTAAAATGACAAATCAATAGATGTCTAGATTTAATATGCGTGCTGGGCTGCATGATTTCCATGACCTGTTATTTTCGAGGCGAAGAAAACAAACTAATTTTCCCATTTTCATATACCAATTTCCCTAAGTGACCAATTTGTTCGAGTGCAATTAAGACAACCCATCCAAGCCTACGATGGGGCCAAGGCAAAGAGACTAAGACTTCTAATGACCAACTACGTGTACTTGGCAACAAACTCAAAAAGATTGTTGCGTTGCATTTTAAATATCAAGGTGTATATATTATGCAAATTTGTGCAATTTTCATTCATGCCTACATATACACATACACTATATAGTATATGATAGGGACGAGAAGCAACCCGAGCTGTGTGGAAACCACAGCGCCAGTGCCTTAATTAGTCTTTGTGAGCGTGTGAGGCTCATTTCATATGCAAATTGCAGTCGATTGGTTTCGCATTACATAATTAATAATTCAACGAGAATGCTTGTCAATCACACGCACGGCTACGCCCACCAACGAACCCACACAAAAGACAAGACTTAGGTAAATCTAAGTACGGATCCTGCGGTTTCTGCCACTTGTGGTTCTATAGTTGCATTATTATAATTTATTTACATGTTGGGTGTTGATATTTGCAAGTTACAGAAGAGAATGCGTAATACTAGGGCCCAATGAACTGGAATTGGTTCTGTATTTAGAGTTTATCTTTAATTTAAATTCTTCATAAATGTTTTTAGAATAACAAAATCAATAAGTTTATGATTAATATTGGAAACCTGACTTTAAGGTTTACCCGCTTTTATGTTCTATAAATATAAGGGCTAAGTAAATATAGCTGCCTCGCCTAAATGGGCTAAATTCGTTATAAAATCTCTAGCTTTTTATACGAAATGTCCTCTGGTCTCGTGTCTATAACGATGCTCGAGCCTATTTGTGCAATCAATAAATTTTACAGTCGAATGCCCAGGTGCTGGCATCAACAATTTACGCATCCAGTGGGCGTCTGCAGTTGGCACCAGTTGGGGTGTGGCTGTCAAGAAGATGAAATTTCGTATTTCGTTTCGAAATTTATTAACATTTTCCGATCATTTTCCGGCCATTAAACCGTTTCTCGTTTAAAAGACAAAGAAGTATACATTTTCCTGTGGCTCGTTTTAATTTAAATGTAATGCATTTCGGTTGGTTTTAATATTTATTAGCCAACTATGTAATTTGAAAAGTATTACAGCTGTTGATGAAGCTGCTTTGCAGCTGAGTATCCATTGCCTCTCACCCCGTTCACCAAAAATCCAAACGTGTCTGCAAACACTCGTTAAAAATCACTTAAAATTCCATCATCATAAATTTGTCAAAAAATTCACTCACTTGCTCTGAGCGAAGCTTTAACGTGTCGACATTGATGCTGTGTCTTTTGTCTACAATCACACTCCCCTCTTCCTCTCCAGGGATTAGTTTTCCGACCAACACAATGGTCTTCATTTCCCATGCACAAATGTCTCGTCGGATTTGGAGGAAATCATTGTATGAAATTGTCTCGTCAAGGTCGTATGAAAGTTAAGTGATGTGAGTTTATTTACAAAACTTTTGGATTAACTAAGATTGGAGTATAATTTTCAATTTGAGATTTCAACCAGAATATTTCTTTAAAATTCAAACACGAATTCATCTTAGTTTTATCTTAGGTCTGACCTTTGGCCCTAGCAGGGTATTCATCGAAAAAAACTATTTACTTGGAGCTCTGCCACTGCCAAAGCTGAAAAACTTCTTCAAGACAAATGAGCTTTCCTTTAAGACCGTTCGCCGTCTAAGTTTTCTTATGACAACCTTTAGTTTATTACTTTTGGTTTATGTTTTCGTCAGTTGGCCGAATGTTTTATTTTAGCGACCGCCGCAACAGCAGGGGGCAACTTCCACGAGGCACAGCCAGCCATGCAGCCACATATATACCGTACACCGAAGTTAACAGCTTTTTGTGGCAAGGTCTTTTTGGCCATGGCTCCATGGTGACTTCAATTTTTGGCAACAAACGCAGCTAAAAGTTGCTGCAACAGCGAAAAATAGAAAAGAACTAAAAGGCGGGGGCAAAAAATAAAAAAGAAGAAAGAAAGCAAAAACTCACCCAAGGCAAAAAAGCAATAACAAAATATTATTATCAGAATCATTCATCATGTGGCTGCAGGCAATAAATTTTGGGCTAGCTCCCAAATGCAACAACAAAAAGAACAACCATAATGCCAGGCCCAGTGAAGAAGAAGAACTACAATTATTGTAGTTGTATTTGTATGTATGTAGGTAGGTAGGTAGTTACGTACACAGCGCTTTTGGCTAACTGTTAATAAATCGCTGTGCCAGATATCAGCCAAAACAGTTAGCTGAGTTAGCTGTGGCCCAACAGCAGCAGCAGCAGCAGCAGCTGGTGATGTGGCGCCGCCTCCCCAGAGTCCCACCCCCTTTGAAAAACCAACAAAGTCCCTCATAACCTCCGCCCATCTGAACCCCACCGCAGACGCATAAAAGTTCGGGGGGCTTTAGCCCCGAAACGAACTTTAACTTTAAGCGAGGCGTGGCCAGAGCTATAAAGCATTAACATAAAACTCCCCAAAATACAAAAGACAGAGGGCAAAAAACAAAAAAGAAGTAAGGAAAATACCAAATGAAAATAGTTACTGCTAAGAATTTCCCCTGCCTTTTTTTATCACAAGGCAGTCAGCTGCTCAGCCAAGCTGTAAATTTGCACATTACTTTAGCGGCTTCCATCTATTCTCTGCGCTTTTTTTTTTGAGCAATTTATAATAAATCTTTTGATATAAGATATAAAGTCTTGGAAAATCATTAAATTTGTATTTTTATAGTAGTCATCATCCTTTGGAGTTTTTCTTATTCATCAGTAGGCCTTTCTATTAAAGCCATCAATGCTTCAACCTCTAGTCAGTGTAGTGCCCCATAAATTATCAATATAGTCTAGAAGCATCATGGAGGTTAGTCCAGCTATTAGTAGGTCCTCAAGCCCCACATCCATTAGCGTGTGTGCTATGAGCATAACTTCTACTGAAACGCTGACCTCGGAGAGACAATCGAAACCACAAACCGGAAGTACCAAGTCTGACAAGAAAATCTCTTCAGACGAAAATATCAAAAAGATTAGGGACAAGAAGTGCGACGAGGAGACCCTTTGGAAGCAGCAGCAGGCCGAGCTCCGGTGGAAGTCGTTCACGGACGAGGAATACGCTGATTGGAAAACCTTCAAGGACTGTGACTACAAGGTGCCGGTACGTTCTGTGTTCTCCTACGTAAAGGTCGAGCCCTACAAAATAGACCTTAACGATGAGCCTCCGAAGAAACCGGTGATGAAAGTGTTGACCGAAATGGTGAAGAACAACCTGGGCGCATATGCTCGTATTCAGATCGGAGAGCATACGTTCCAGTGCATTCCCAGACTGCTCAAATGCTATTCGGTGTGGTTCGCCAACCGTGACTGGCGTTTAAACTCCTTCAAGTTCGACGAGAAGGATGTGCCTGCCCGCGGATTCGCGGCGGTCTACGAATGGATGCGCACGCAGAAGTTGCCGGATTTTGGCTTAACGGTGACCACACTTCAGGCCGCGCGCTACCTTAAGGTTGACCTGTTGGAAAACGAGTGCTGGACGCTGCTCTCCAGCGATGCAATATACGAGAAGAGGTCATTTTTGATATACCTAGAAGCGAAGCGTTCTCCAAAACTTAAAGAAGTAAGCGAGGCGATGCTCGGCCGATTGCGTAACTACTTTCTGGCGCTGGTTGGCAGCCCCGAGTTCTTGTGTCTCAAGGTTGATACCGTGGATGTAATACTGCGTCAGGACTCCATAGGCGTCAATTCCGAGATGGAGGTGTTTTTCGCTGTGCTACGATGGCTGGGGCATGGCGACATGACAAAGCGTCTGCTGCATATGCGCCGTCTGATGAAATGCGTCCGCTTTCAGCTCCTACCTATGACTTTTCTGTTTAGCCTGCGTGAGTCTCTTAATCGGAAGGACAAGGAGGTACTCTTCCGGACTGAACCTGCTTTGCTAGCTTTCAATTCGGATCCAGAGACAATGATCGTGCTTGAGCGGGCCATATCCTTTATCGGCGTGCGTTGCCAGCATCCCGAGGACTTTCTCACCGTTGCTGGGGATCATGGCATCGAAATAGTCTTCCCACGACACTGGGTCTACCACGCCAAGTGCCCGTACCATTTACGTGAACTGGATTTCCCATATCAGCACCGCTTTACCGCCTCGGACTTCGGTGACTATATAGCCAGTATCCAGAAAGACTGGGTCGGCGATGGGCCGCCGAATCACGGAAGGAACCTTATCTTCGATGTAGATTCGGATCAGCTGATTCGCAAGGGTTTCAAGAAGGCGACTAAGTGATCCAATTTATATATTTCATAGAGTACGTTGTATGTTTGCATTTACATATAGTTGCAATACTTACTTCTTACTAAAACTAAGTACATATATACAAAAACATATAAATAAATATATTTATCTGGAGGCCAAGAAACGCACACATAATGCTTTTCTAGACATTAGTTTTCATAATGCAAATGTTTTTCTGATAAGTCTGCCTTCTGCAAAAAACTTCTTAGAAGGGGAAAAATAATAATCTTTTCGTGAAGTAATTTCCCTATTTATGTCTATAAATAAATGATATCACCGTATTCTGTCAGTAGAACAACTCGGTTAAAACTCCACAAAGGCAAACAAAACGATTGTAAAACTTAAAGATAAGAATATTCTAGTTATTTGTGCGATGCATTCTTATCTTTGTTTGCCCACTATTCATTCTTTTGTTTGCTACCTATAAACGATAAATTCAGAACAGAATTGGAAAAATTAAGTTCCTTAACAATCATATATTATCTTTGATTAGCTTAATTTGTTAGAAAATTCGATGTCTGTTCTATTAGTGCCACCGCCAATGGTTTCTAGCCACTTTAAGAGCTTTTTTTCAGAGTAGACAACCAATAATCTTTTAATGGTCCCAACTAACACTTGGTTTCCTCTTATTTGCCATTGCCGCCATTGAAGTTCCTCTTTGATACACATTTTGCAAATTGCATTTCATTCTTCCACTTCCTCCCAGCCAGTCCCGTTCTCATTTGTAATCATTATTATGGTCAAAGTAAACGAAATCGTCATCTCTCCAACGTCCCCACCAACATCATAATCAATTCAGTTGTAAGTCCGTAGTTCGAGGAAAATGCATTTTCCCTGCTCTCCACCCAGCGCCACAGATTCTCGCTCATCGTTATTCTCTTTGCCACTTGTTTGATAAATAATTGTTCGTCGTTTAGTAGGTACATAAACATATATACATAGGCATGTACACTATAAACATGCAAAGTTAAGAGCACATTGTATATTCTCGTGCCAGTCCAGCGGGTGACCACATGCTGTGTGTGCTCCGGCTCTCCGATAACGCCCCTCCTTGTTCCTTGGCTAACGGCATTGGGAAACCGCATAGCTATAGTAGCCATAAGCTAGGCCATGTACTTTGAAAGCCCCTCGCTGAGCCCTGACCACATCATCGAATGCAAAATGCGAAATGCTAAATGCAAAATGCAAAATGCGAAATTCGAAATGCAGAAGCGGCGTAATTGCCACCGCACCAGAGACCCAAAGCTGAAACCAATAAACCAGCACACGTCGATTAGTTGCACATGAGTGCGGCAACATCGGGCATCGGGTTTGGTCAGGTGGTTAAAGACCCCTTCTCATCTTCCTTCTCCTCCTCCGGGATTCACCTTCGTTACTGCGGCTGCTGCCAAGACTGACGGTCGACGCAACTACAGACAGTAAGTCCATTTAAGCCACGTCTCAAGAATGTCGGCTTTTGGCCATAAGACTTTTTCGATGGCATCTATGGCCGAATGATTTGGCTATAAAGGTTTCAATTTTAGGACATCAATAAAAAACGAAGTTAAAATATATATCTGGAATTCCTTTTCTTTTAACAGAAACGACCGACCATTTTAATTCACTAATGTCATGCTGTAGCGCATGCACAGAGTATAAAATACCCGACATTCACTAGTCTAAAGAAAAAGCGTTGCATACCTCAAAGGCGCTTTCAAAACTCAGACTAAAATCAATTAAATAATTTGCATCTATCTTTTCTGACAAAAACTAAAAATCTTTTTTTAATCTTTTAATGTATCTTATAAGAGAAAACGCATGATCTATAAGCGAAGTTGTTAACCCACTTTAACCCCCGCTTTGGATCAGACTATCCGTTAGTGTCGCCTGTCTTTGAGAAACGGCAAATGTATGCGGAATCCATTGGTGGCATGGATAACCAATATTTGCGTAACAGAGGCGGCTTTGGGGCAGTCCACTCCAACGCCTCCAATAGTCAATAGTCTGCTATTTGGCTTATGGCTAACCGAACCCAACTAACTAACCGGCGATTGCTCATTTGCTATCAACGAGGAGCGCCTTCACCGCATTCCATGTGACGGAGCGGAGAACGGCCATGAATTTTGCATTTTCAGTTCGCGTGTATTTTTAGCTGTGTCCGCTGTTGTGTGCTGGGCAGGCCTGTGATTCATCAAAAAAAAGAGCGGCGACAGCTGACAGGCCGACAGCTACGCATAGAAATGAATTATACAAACAAAAGAAAAAACTGGGTAGACAATGGGCCAAACTGCCGCCTCACCCCATGGGGAAACACCTGAGGCGGCGGCTAGGACGACGCGAATTGCCTACGATTATTTTTTATTAGTTGAACCCCGAACCAGTTGACAAAAGCCAATGAACGCTAGCCACAAGATCCCAACTGGGAATCAAGATAAAAAGACCAGAAGCCAGAAGACCGAAGCTTTCATGCTCTTTTTGGGTTTCGCATTCATAACTCAGCAAATCTTTCAGGTTTTGTAAACAAGATTAAGCTAAAGATTAGCTGCCTGAATAAAAGATCGTTTTAATAACAATATTTACATATTTTCTGGTTTCTGACATTTAATTTATTGATGAAATAATGATCCCAACTAAAAACATGTCTCTATTTATGCTTTTAAAAGTAGGCTATTGTGGATATTACTGCTCTATTTTGGCTTAATTCAACTATTTCCTTATAAACAAAATATAGTTTCAACCGTTCTATATGGCAATTATTATTTTATTTGAGTTTGTCGATAAGATGTATTCAAGGTTGAACCAAAGTGTGTAATGAACATGCAGTTATTACGATTTCAAAATCGCAATCGCTTCAAGAGTCGATGCCTGAATACTCTATTTCATAAAGAATTCGATTGTTAATTATAATAAATCATCAATCTAAGAGCTAGCAGCTGGTGCTTAGACGGTTCTCGCGAGTTTTTTAAAAACGCAAGTGTTCAAAAGAGGAAAAAAGAAATACGATGTACAACCCCGGATACAAAAGAGTCCACACACATTTTATTTTATAGCATATGCACATCTGCTTCCGACTATAAGTACTTTAGTGTCGTACATACTCGTACAAATATATGTAGCGACATATGGGTTCACATACATACATATGTACTGAATTTTGCAGATCGTTCAACTTAATTTTGATAGTTTCAATAGAAAAGCTTGGCATAGCAACCCCGAAAAAATCATACATTGTATGTAGATCGTTTGTTATGCCCCGTCATGCCTACCGAAATACAAGCTTAAATACATACATACATACATATATGTACATATACACGGACAAAATTTTTTTAGATGAATAATTAATTTTTAAAAAGCTTAAATTTAAAACCTATTTTGCTGGGGATTTATTATATGATTTTTATTTGAAGCCTGACACTTGGCCACTAATTCTTCTGAGCTAAATAAATTATTATTATGCAATCAGATTTTGAAAATAATTTTATATGTACATACAAATATGCACACAGATTTATTTAATTGTGCAACTTTCTTCTGTGTACATTCATTTATAGAAGCACATGCTTCAACGTTTGCAACACTTTTTTGAGTTTTTTTTTGGCTTGCTGCCTTCTGGCATTTTATTCTGCCGGTCGAATGGTTTGCCAACATTATGACAAAGTTATGATACTCTTTCCTGGGAAAGCACATAGAAAAGAGCCCAGGCAAGGCAAAAAAAATTAACAAAACGGCAAATAAAGTAAAATACGAACCAAAACCATCAAAACGTGATGAACAATGAGTGCTATGTGTGAGGGACCAGAGGCGGAGTTATCGGGGTTCCTAAAACTATACTTTAAAAAAAAATTAAAAATAACTTTGTTTTGAAAATCTTTTTAGCTCCATTAGTTGGAATATTCATGCTTTGTATTTTTTCATCAAATAAATTTTTTGTATAATTTGATTTAAACGCAAAAATTAGTTTGCTCAAAAAAAAAAGTGTATAAAATTGTGATTGTGTTGTAGATCAAGTGATTAATTTTGAAGAAATAATTTAAAAAATCCCCAAATTAAATTATCTCTGTGTGCCCATGATTGTGACGGAGGTGCCACCCCCTCCCTCTATATACCCATCTCTCTTTATATGCTTTCCATCTCGCTCACTCTTCTAACAATCGCGCCGATTACGTTGTCGCATATCGTTTGAAGATGACGCGCGTTTGTTTTTTTTTGCTGCCATCGCCAGACGAACTGGCTCTGCTTTCTACGCTGTTGCAGGCGAAGTGGGTGGGGCTGTGGCTGTGGCAGGGGGTGGTGGGCGGTCGACAACTGAAAAGGTGCGGCGACATTGAACAAGCAAAAGAGCGAGAGAGGTGGAGAGCGAGCTGACTTTTCTGATAACGTCGTCATCGTCATCGCAATTTTAATTTATGCGCAACACACGCACAGCTAGGTTACACACACAGACGCAACCATCTCAATTGCGATGGAGATTTTTTGTTAAAGCTCAACATCTTTTTACACATTTCGCAATTGTTGTTGTTACACTCGGGAGTAGGGGTATACGAACTCTATAAAAAGTTTGCACAGTTGGATCTTTTATTGATCATTGGCTTAAAAACACAAATTTCATTAACAATTAAAAACAAATAATGCGCTAATTATCTTGCAAATACGTCTCTTTTCATAAAAATCATACTAATGAATTAATATACTCTATGACTAACGACTTCTGTTTGAAGTTTATTTATAACAGTTTTCACAGTTAATTCTGAAAATATGATTAGTCACAGAATATTCATTTATTGAAGCTAGTTGCCAAGTGCCTTACAAATATTTTATATATTCCATTTAATGTTTTATCTGATTTTTAATTTCGTGAATTTGTGAAAAAAGAAATACTTATAAATTTATGAGCTTGCAAATGACATTGTCACAGATTATATTTCAAAACCCTATTTCAACCCTAACGAAAATCAATAAATATATAAGTAGGTATTGAATAATATCGTAAAAAAAATATTTGCCAAACGAAATCGAGCAGCTTGTTAAGTATTATTCATACAGTAGCCGATAATTGTGAGAGTGTCCAGCTGTCAGATTGAGGCCACTGTGCGAATACCATACCGTTGGCCCCTCCGCTCACTTATGTAAACGCTCCCACTGTGCGCGCATTTGCGCTCTTCCAACGTCTATCTCTCGAACGCCACGCTCTCACGCTTTTCTCTCTTTTTCTCTCTTTCTCTCTGGCTTTGGCTCTCTCGTTACAGCAGCAACGATCGAGGAGGGCGCTGCTGCAGTTGGACAAGTCTGCTCATTTGGAGGTTGAAAATCGACATCGCGAGACGTTGTATAGTTGGAATATTCGTTTCGACGGCGGCGACGCGTCGCTCGTTGCAGTGGCGCATTCATTTTTTTGTTTTTTTCGGTTTGATTGATTGCGATTATGAACGAGACCTTCAAGCTGTCCGGAATCGGAATGCAGCGTACAAATATCGATCTCGAGCGTCAGAGGCACCTGGCCAACTGGTTGGTTAAGAGTAGTCCGCACATGGCGGCCGCTGCAGCAGTTGCAGCAGGAGGAACCTCTACCTCAACCACTACAAAAACAACTCAACCAACACCCACTGCATCATCATCTACAGCAGCAGTAGCAGCAGCAGCAGCAACAACAACAAATCCTGGCTCAACAGTAGTGGGAGGAGGAGCGGGAGCTGGCACAGTGGGCGGCCACGGGCCCGCAACAGGCGCACCCAGCAACAGCGTCGCAGCTGCAGCATGTAACGGTAAGCTTAGAGCGAAGAGAGGAAGAGGGAGCGGGTGACAAGGCACGCGCTCCAAACAAGCGAGCGCGAGAGCGAGAGAGAGCAATGCAATGGGTTATTGTTTGCTCAATGACGTCGCTTTTGCTGTTTAGGATGCCCTGCTCATAGGGTATGTTAGGTCTGATTCTCTTTAGACTATGCTTATTTAAACATTATTATACCTCAGTAGAATAGTTCAAAGATATTACACTGACAAATATTTAAGACTTAGTAGAGTCGTAAACTAGTTACTAATTTCACTATCTAATGCATTTATTTCACCATATTTACAAAAACTAATAAAAACCAACGTTTTAAACGTATAGATTAAGCCATTTTATTTCATCATAAAGTCATGTCTTCAAGGTATTATAGTTGTTATACTAGCACCGCAAATTCAACAAACTCATTAAAGATTTTAACAAAGTAGTATGTAAACTAAAAAAACAAAGTTGTTATTTTTAAAAAGCTTAAGTGTATTTCTTGCGTCATAATCTGTAAAAGTTTCTCTGTTATAGATTTTTATGACATGTAATAAATGAGCTAAGTTTGCATCTACAGTCCAACTTCTATCACTGAAGCCGTTCTCCGTCATTAAGGAATTGTTAAGGGATTTATGTTATTTATTGACATAACAGTTTTGAGACCCAATCACATTTTTCAAAAAGACACAAAAAGATGGTTTTTCGAAGAAATATTTCTAGATATTTCAATAACACTCCAGAAGGATTAATAAAATCTTAAGTGGTCCATAAATCTAAATTTGTTTGTGAATTGATGGTTCGACTTATTAATACCCGACTGTACTTAGCTTAAGGAAAAGCGAATCCAAAGGCGTATAAATATTTATTTTTGTGCAAATCGAATTCGAGCAAAACGTTCGAAAGTGAAAACCGAAACATGTGCTATTTTTATTACCAGCTAGTTTGGAAGAACAATCAACACTCCGAACCATTAAGAGATTAAGTAATATTTTTATTTGGTCCAGATTAAAAAAAAAGATTGTTTTTCGTTTACTAAAACTTTTCCAAATCAATAAATTAAAAACTTAACCAGAATATATAAACCTTTAGAAATGTCTTAAATTCAGACCAGAAAAAGGGTTGTCATTTGAGAAGGTAGTTGCTCTAAAAAGGGTATTTTAATCCTCGTTACCAGAAGAATGGTTTTTCTTTCCTATTTTTTGCTAACTAGTGGTTGTGTCGCCTCTATAGCGAATATTTTTTCGCTAAGGCGCGCGCGTCGCTTCGCATAATTTCACACGAAACGTGACGATGACAAACCCCCTCACCCACTTACTACTCCTCTCCCGCTTTCTATACCTCTCTCTGTCTCTCTCTGATTTTCGCATACTCTCTCGCTCGTTGGCGAACTCTACAATTGATATTTTACAAAAGATAAGAGCAATTTCACAAAACGTTTTAGCCCCTTCCCGGTGTTATGCTGTGATTTTTGCCCTCGCCTGCATTTATTAAATGTGTGTTGTGTGTGTGGGGCGAAAAATTAAGCCAAATGTGCGCAATTAAAGTGAGTAATGCGCCGCGGACCACCAATCAGCGGTAGTAGCAGCGGATCTAAATCGCACCATGGGCACAAATCGAACAATGAGCAATCAAAAATCGCGATATCTCTTTTTAATTGCACCGGTTGAAGTTCACTCGAACATTTCTATATATGTATGTATGTATCTGTATATTTCTATGAACATACATCAATATATATATAGAAAAAGGTCTAAGTGATTTCATGGGCATTGTTTGGTACGACAGACAATTGCTTTTTTGGATGTCGGTACGATAACGAAAATAATATGTTTTTACCCATGGGGGTGTTATCTTTTTCCGTGTTGTCTGCGCAGCTCGGTTCGCCGTTAATCGCTTACCCAGTTGTTGACGCTTTTATTAATACCTCGATATCCGATCCGATCGGATCTTTTGAGCCCAAAAATAATATTTGACCTTTAAATTGTCAAGTCATGGACCTCAGAGACTCCCAAGTTTTGAGGGTTCTTCCTCAATATTAACTCGAGTCCACCGTATGGAATCGCAGAAATAAAAAAGTTTCGCTGCGAAAAGAAATATGACGACGCAAAATGTTCTTTATAAAAATAATATAAAGCCGGAAATACCAAATGACGTGACTTAATCGATAATGTTTTCTGATAATAACTTTAACCCGACTTTATTTCGCTAACAAGATATATCGTTTTATCTTTGAATTAAATCAAAATTTATTTAATTGTTTCCACAACTTTTCTTTTGAGACTGTCTAACTTGGTCAAAAACCAAACGGGCTATGCATTTAGTTTTAATGAACCATAAGAATACGTCAATAGCGAAAATTGAGTATCAATTAGCTGATAGTCAATATATTTGTATTGCAAATAAAGTCTTGTTAGTGACAAATTTGTTTGCGTAAACGCTGTTATAACGGGCAAATATAAACTGATTAGTAAACTTTGAATTGTGGAATCGAGGGTAAATAAAGCAGCTACAGCTATCTTTAAATTTAAAATACTATGGTAAATAAGCAATAGTTTTTCACATTTGCATGTTATTTTAATAGATAGATACAAGGTTTCTTATAAAAGATAGTAGATTTTCTTGTCTGGCTACTATCGATATAAGCTGCGTCCACCAAACTTTTGTTAAGATTTTTCGATTTAATTGTATTACAAAGTTGGGAGCAAGAATGTTGTGCACAGGTGCTGCTATTTTGCTATTCAATGCTTTCAACTTATTTTGGTCTAAAATTGGCTCTGTCTTAAACAATAAAAGTTCGATTTTCCCTATTTAAAATTCAGCGCGAGATCTTTCGACATTATTTCTACTATGGCGAAAATTCTTGTTAATTTTGCGGTTCCACTTCATGGCGATGTTTGCCCACTGTGTGTCATCGTCTCGTTGACCGTTGACTGAAAATTAGCTGCGCTTAGCAACAGTTTTGAACCACTTGCCTTTTTGTTGCGTCACGCCAACTGAAATTCGCTTGAGGAATATACATATAGATATACATTATAGAGAGCTCTGCGCCGGTGTGTAGATGTGGAAGTTGATACGACGGTGTGTGGGTTTTTCCCACTGCAGACAACGGGTGGCAATTAGACACTCACATGTGCATTTATATTTATGCGATTACCTCACCGATGCACAATGTGCTACTACTGCTCAACTCCTCCTCGTTGCGTTTCTTATAATTTTTTTCATACCTTCATTTTTCTTGTTTGCAGGTGGAGCAGCGATTGGCGCCCATCACGGCCACCATTTGGCGGCCGGGGCTCGAAAGCCCAAGCTGCGGCGGTTCAACTCCCACGACAATAGCTTCAATATGTTCTCGGTGGCGGATTTCGAGAATGCCCGCTTGGCCCGTCGCAATGAGATCGAGTTGAGCCAGCGATTGGCGCGACGCCATCAACAACGCACCTACGGCTTGTTGGCGTCCGGATTCTGTGGCGGGCTCAATGGCAGCGGCGATTACTCCACAGGGGACAGCAAGGCCTCAAAGGGCAGCAGCGAGGTATGATTAAATCAAATTTCTAAAAGGGGCACAGAGAAATCCAAATACAAAAATATAATCTGAATTTTCTAAAGTTAATGAACTATTAGAAAGATGTATTAAATTCCTCCGTAGAAAATTCTTTAAATACAGTTTTTCAATCTACAAATTATAAGTTTCGCTTTATCATGGTAAAAGTTTGAAATGAAACTTTAAAAATCTTTTTTAAAATTTTAAGAAATTGAACATTTTATTCAGTGTAAAATTTATGACGTCAATTGGTTTTCTAATCTAGCGAAAAAATCTGTCGTTGCCACAAAACCTCAAGAGACTTTTATTGAGACTATTAATTTCATGGCAATTTAACTCGGTGGCTTGGCAACAGTTTTAATTTGAGTCGGTTAATTATTTAATAGCTAAAGCTCTTAATTTATTCAATGTGAATAGAGAAATGATGATGAGTTAAGGATTTATATTACGTAAATAGTTGTTTTTATGAATTAAGCTTTTATTTAACTAAATATCAAAATGTCTTTCAGTCGCAGCAGGAAGCTTTGCCCGCCGATGTGTTTCTTGAGCGGAATTCCCTGCCTCGTGTCGTTCGCATATTGCATACGGGCAAGAACTCCAACGAAACTCTACAGTCCAGCTCATCGCATGGCTCCTCCACGGCGGCATCGAGCAGCTCCTCGACGGGAGTGAATCCGGTGGGCGGTGGTGGTAACATTTCCAATGGCAACATTGACACCGGCACCGGCACCCATTCATCGTCCAGCGGAGGAAGCGGCACCGGAAACGGAACTGGATCTGGTCCTGGCCCTGGCTCTGGTTCTGGTTCTGGTCACCAAATCAACAACAGTCGCCACAGCAGCAACGGTGGCACTCCTCCCGGCCACGATGAGCTTTTTCTACTCTACAGGCTGGTGCGGCAGCGCAACATCTACCACGGACACAATGCCAAGACTCAGGCTTCGCAGCGCAAAAAGACTGTGCTCATTCCACAGGAGTTTCCGGGTGAGTTTTACAAATTGATGATTTAATTATATTGCGTATAGCAAAATGTTTTGAATTTATAACTATTTATGCTTTATAGAGAAATAATATTTTTTTTTTTACATTTTAATTATGAACGCAAACGATTACAAAAGGTTTTTCTTTTTCAATGTATTTTTTAAATTAATTAATTTTGTGCTGCTTTGAAAAAACAAAACAGTTAAATGCCCCGTTGAGTATGTGGAAGTTACAATGTTAATTTGGCATCCCTAAATATTGTAATCAATTAGCCAATTAAAAAAATTTAAAAATAATATATGAATAAAGTTAGAATTTGCTATAATTAGCTTAACTGATTTAGTAAACTTTGAAGCAACAACAACCTGATTTTATCGCAGTTTTAATAGGAATGTGGTTTAATTACCGACTATTTATTAAAAGGAGTAATTAGATTTAAAAAAGCCTAAAGAATTTGTCCTATGGTCAGCTGGGCTTACAGCGGCTAATTCTAATTACAAGTTGGTTCTGACAAGGGCGGCCCCAAACAAGTTGTCATATCATTGCGGGAGGTTAATTTATCGCTCACAGTAAATTAACTTCAATGACCCACCGATTGATGCGCCGATTGGCAGTAGCTAAGGGCATAACCGAACGATTTAAAAACAAAAAAAGGTAGTACACCCTGTGACTAATTTGGCACGAATACGGTAGATTATAGTCGTCGGTTTCTTTACATAATCTAGACGGGGCTCTCTTTGAAAGCGCAATTTTGTGTTCTCATGACGAATGCATTTAGATACTTACTTATGCCAGATTACACGGTCCAGTCGTAGCTAACTCACTTAGTGAGTCAGCCAAGCGAACTGTGATCTGCCCGTGCGAGGTTACTAAGTACACAATCCAAACACATGTATAGTTCACCTTTTTTTTGCGTTTGCAATTTGCGTGACACAGTCACAGTTCAACAATGAAAAGTAATCGCAACTATTGCTCATCAGGCGTTATGCAATGGGCTCTATTCGGTGTTCCAGTGCCGGTGGTTTTGGCCCAGACAGTCAGTCAGTGGTGACTTCTTCCACCATCATCACCACCACCCACTTCCTGATCCCCCCGAACTGCGGTCAGCCATTGTTTCAACTCGCTACGCCATGTGACTTTTCACAGCCGTTTGCCGAGGCGCAATGTAAACCAATGTGTGCAAATATTATGCAATCTGCCAATTTATAGACTCACTGACGCTGGGTATTATCATTTTATTCATTAGGCTTGCAATGTCCGGACAAAAAAAAATAAATAAAATAAAGAAAAAATTATAAATTGGATGGCAAATTGGAGTGATTCAATTTGCACGTCCATATTGGATTTTCCTTGTGTTGATTCGATTGCTCTCGACATTGATTGCATTAGTCTCTTTACCATCAAGTTTTTGTTGCTGTTGCTGTTGTTGTATTTTTGTAATTTGAACTCAGTGGCGCGAGTTAAACTAAATGGAATGATTACTCTATAGACTCTTTGATAAATGTAACTGTTAATTGCAATTAATATTTTTTACTGGTTTATGCACTTTTACATAAGCTTGGGGTAATTTGCCTAAGTTTTTCTGTTTTGTTACATAGCTGGTTAGTCAATAATGTCCTTCAGTTCAAGCTGTCCTTTCTTAGTCCAGTGATTTATAAATACCATTAAAAACCTCATCAATGGACCATTTTAAGGTAAATTTAGCTCGATGCTATATTATGGCCTGTCATACGTCATGTTATTTGTTTTATTTTTATTGTACTCATTTTTGGATTGCAAATCGTGTACTATAGTCAGTGCAAAGCTGTCAGCTGTCGGGAAAATGGTTTTCAGATTTTAGACAGTAAACAGATTTGTTCTGCGACTGAAAAAATATACATCTGTCATGTTCAAAGAGAATTTAAAATTAAATGAATTTGAAATTATTCACTTTTACTGCTTTTTGAATGCAGTCATAACTAGATAATGTGCAAAGCTTTCTATAAAATGTGTTTAAAATTCAATTTTAAGGAAAATATGAGAAAAAATGTTTGCAGTTCATTAAATAAATAAAATATTTTTAAATTATTTTATTATTTAATATAAAAGTTACGATTACTTTTACTAATGTTACGATTTCTTTTATCGCAGGTTACTTTTCGCTTCTGAGCGAAAAGGGTCTCCCCACAGCCACGCAGTACGGATCCCTGATACAGCTAGTTCGGGAACGGGTCTACAAGTTTGTCTCGGTGGACAACATGCCGGCCTTTACTGAATCGTCGCCCAACAGTACGAGTAGTCCAACGCACGAGGGTTGTCTGCCTATAATTAAGGGACGACCACAGTATGTTAAAACAACAGCAAGGGGCGGACAGGTATTCCGTCTTTTGGCGGTCTTCGAGGATGGCAAGCAGGAGCAGTCCAATATGTCGCAGCATGGAAACGGAAATGTGTCCAAGTCTCATGGAAGTGGTTACATGGGACGCGAGAAGGAAAAGAATCGGTATGCCCAATTGCTTAATGAAAACCGACAGGTGATGTACGTCCCACTGTCCACCAAGGGCAAATTCTACGAGATTGAGCCGGGAATTCCACAGATACTTCAAAAACTGGGCGATGCACAGCGTAAGCTGAACCCGGAGTGTGTGCATCGTCTGGGTGCCTTGATTACAGCGGCCAAGCAATTGCCGGTGACCCTGCGCTATATCTCGGGTCCTGGTAGTCCCGGACATCCCAGAGCAGCTGTGCATTAGTCAGGTTAGCAAGGAGGATGTGGTCGTGGGCTGTTCCATTGAGGACGTGGACACCCAGACGCCCCTGCAGCTGAGAAAATTCTACCCCAGTCGGGATATGCAGCTGGTAAAGAGTTATCTGGGATTTGACTCTGAGCAGCGGATGCTTGCCAACACAAATGTGCAGAATATGCTTAAGTTTTGTCAATTCAACTGCGATCCGTTCTTAAAATTGGTCGAGATTGAATTGATTCAGCGATCAGAACGTTCGGGAAGCAAGAACCGGGAGGGTCTACGAATTCTGAAACCATTGCATTTTCCAAAGATCCTGAGACGCGAGAAAAGTACCATGGCAGCAGCACACGAGAAAGAGGATTCCATTATCTTCCTCAGCAAATCTGATTTGGAGAATCTGGAGGCCAAGGAGGCGGCGGCGAATGCAGCAGCTCAGTCTGAATCCAGTTTGAATCGCATCTCAGAGCGCATGAGGGTATTCCAATCAACCAAGAAGAAGTGGTTCGGCAAACATCACCCCCAACAGCAGCTGCCACAGGTGGAGAAACAGCAATCTGAATTGGATCTCGATGAGCAGGCAAAGCGAATGAGCATGGAGCGCTATACGGATATGTCTAAGCTTCTGCAGGAGCGTTTCGGCTCGGATCCGGAGCAACCAGAGCAAGATGGCATCTCCTTAAACAGCACTGCAGCCTCCGACACCGAGACCACAATGTTAACAACCATGGAGCCCAAGTCATTGGACACGATGTTGCAGAAATCCATGTCCCTGCAGGATATTGAACTCTTAAATGGCCAGTGCAAGCCGCGTCCTGATCTACTGGCCAGTCACAATCACAACGATGCCATCAGCGAGGCTGGTACTGAGCTGGAGGATGTGGAGAACCAGACACCACCGCCACAGTCTTTCATCACGGAGAAACTTTACAACGAGTTCCATGTCAAGACTAGGCAATACAGCAAGTCATCGTCAAGTTTGCATCAGTTGCGACATTTTTCGTTGCCGCAAAAGCTGCAACTCCACGAGGCGGAGAAAGAGAAGCGTAATCTGATGCTGCTAAAGGCTCAGCAACAGTCGATGGGCAAGGAACCGATCACTGGCAGAAGGGCTGCTGGTGGAGTTTGTCTATTGGGTGGTGGACTTAACCATCTGCCGATTTCACCAGCATCTCTGGTGGAAGATGATTTGCCCTACTCGAGTGTCCGTGATTCGCTGGTGATTTCCGGCGAGGGCTGCCTGCGATCGGAGTCCGCCAATAGACCAGTTTCGGCCGTGGACTACACAAAGGAGAACATATACGCGGAGATATGTCCTTCGCACACCGTTGACACATTTTCGGGTGCCACACAGATGACCCATGTGGCAGACGATGATGGAGATTACGCGTCGCTCAAGTATTCGGTCAATGGACCACAGTCCGTCAGTCGCATCGAAGTGAATGGAGCGACTACAGGGGCAAAGAACAGTGCTATCAGCTACCACACCGTGTACCTGGGCGAGGAACCGCTGGGAGAGAGACATGCTGCCCACATCACCACCGTGGAGTTGGCCGGGGAGGATAACATTTACAATACGCTCAAATGATGACTCATGTGATTCCGGCGACGTTAGTTTGCCGGCGCCAAGGGCCTGTTTTAAAGATGCTTATGGACAAAGGGCAAGCAAAGGGAAATGCCTGTCACTCTTGTACTCGAAAGAAACTGATTATTTCTCCAATGATAACGATTTTTCTAATTAATCTCTTAATCATTAACCAGATTGTTTCTGTTGCTCGAAATGAATCAAAAATGCACTTAGCATCATTTTTCTTTCAAAAACAAGTTAGTTTCATTTTTTAAATAAGAACAAAATTTTGATTTCTCAGTAAAATACTTCGTAGAATACACAATTTTGATAAAATGACTAATGACCAATGAAAAGATCAAATGTCTCGATAATTTTATAAATATATTTCGAACCTAAGCAGATTGAAGCTAAGGCCGTAAAGAATCTTTCGAGTACAAGACAAGGGTTTGAACATTTTTAAATCAGAGAATATTTGAATAAAACTATCCCGCTGAGAAAGAAGAAAGGGTTGAGCATTACTCAAAAAAATTAATGTTACAAGTAGAAAGTCTCAACAAGATCGTGTTACTGTAAAGGCTACTCAATTAAAAACAATATTCGCGCCCGACCACTGAGAGTAAATTTAATAATTTGAAAACAATTGTAATGCAAGTCGAATGGCGCTGATGCACAAAAACACAAAAGTAGAAGAAAAGTATCTTATTTTGCGATTCGTTTCGGTAGACAAATAAAAACAGCGCGAAACGAATGATGTATTGTGAATTCAAACAGAATTTGAATCTGGGTTAACCAACACCTAAACAAAAAGTAAATAAAAATCTCTATCGTAACATATAATTACATAAATATATATATATATATAAATATATTTGTAGCGAGTAGTATTAGCATAGGGATCAAATTTGTAAATGAGACGTCGCTGTGGACGACGAAAAACCCCCTTGAAATGACAACAGAAATTGTAATATTATTATTAACCAAGTGAAGACAAGCAATTTTGTATTGTAATCTATACATATGGGTGGCTCCATTGCGCCCCCAGTCCACAACCTTCAAGCCCATTAAACACCCTCGATCCCTAAACCATACAAAAACAAAAAAGTAAAAACAACATTATGAAACTGAACATTTGGAAATTGCAATATTATACAATTGTATACATTACTTATATATAGATATACTTATACACATATACTTACATACATACGATATGGAAATCTTAGTGCAAACCTAAGGTATTATTAGCTCGTAGGCAATCAACAAGTCAAATCAAATCATAAGCGATATACATCTACATATGCATATATATTGTATATTTGTAAAATAGCATCAACTTTTAGGGCAAAATGCCAAACTTTTACACACGATCTCTCGTATTTTGTCGTTCTTTTTTGGAAACCCATTAACTTGGCTTTGTTGGGTTAACATGTTTGTACCCAACCCAACAATTCTAAGTTGATCAAACAAAACGATTACATCAAAGTGCGGGCATGTCCACATATAACCATTGTACATATTTTAATATGTCTGCTTGTCCGCTTCGTACGATGCCCTAGAATAAAGGGCAAATCATTAGATACCTTCCAATTAAAACCACATATTTGATATATTATTAAGTAACTTTTGTCGCGCCATATAGAAGTGCAGTCTCAAAGTAGAGTTTTAGACACTAAGATCCAGTTTCTAGTCTTAATTTGAAAAGCAAATATGAAACCGTTTTGAAATGAAGACATGCCGAACTTTTACTTGTGTAATGAATGACTTCGGATTGGTCCGAAGGATTCTTCAATATATACACTTTCACTTTGGGTACTATTTAAATAAATATTTAGCAAGAACTTATGATTTTTTATTTTATTTCGTTTTGCTACCACAATCAATAATAGTAACTAACTTTTAATTTACACCCAAGACGGCAAAAATATCAAGGTGGAAAATAATTCAATAAATAAATGTAAGCAAAAAAGCCTAGAATAACCAAAAACCCTGTATAAAAATGAAGCAATACTCACAAAATAGCTATGATACTAGTTGTAAAACCTCTCTGACAATGCAACAATGTGCGGCAGCAACAAGTTCGGTCAGTGTGTGTGTGATAGTAGCTAAGTAACGAGGGTACTTGCTATCTCAATATCGGTGTTTTGTACATAGGCATAGGAAAGGAAGGAGGCGTAACCCCAGGCCCCAGGCATATTATGCGTAATGTGTACTAAGAGTACGCAGTGGCGGTTACTTTGCATTTCATAGTTGGTAGACATGTAAGACAGGCTTCGCTGAAGCGCAAGGGTGATAAAATGTTGAAAGTGAGCGTTGACAACGCACTCAATCTATTTTGCCCTCTTCAAGATCAGCTTTGTGTTAAAAATAGTAGTATCTCATATCTGTGTTTACAGGTAATTGATAATGATAAAAATTACTTAACGAGTAACCACCCGCCAGCATATAAATTGGTGTGATAAAAATGTTTAACAGAAAATATTGTGAAATATAAGTAAAGGTCAGTTTTACATAATTTTTTTTTTTTTAACAAAAGCAAGCAGAACACACAAAAATATCCATCAGATATGCGCAAATGACATTTTAAAAAAAAAGTAAATGTTTTAATAATGGCTAAATAACATAAAATAGATGTCTCTCTCATGTAATGTTTATTTTTAGCAGCTTAAAAAATAATAAAGCCACTACTAACACGTATACAAAACGAGAATGTTATAGAAATCAAGCATTATCAGGAATTTTTATGGAAAGGAAGAACAAACAAGAGATTGCACTGAAAGGAGGGGAGAAGGGAACTTTTAGCCCCCAGAATGCCGCCCGAACAGGCCTTTGATATACTTTATTGCAGCTTATAGTGAAGCAATACAAATTTCAATAAGAATTTAATCGATTATTAAAAACGAAGAAGCAAAAATAATAAAGCCAACTAAGTAATCATGTTTTTGGTGTCTATGTTAATCCCTAGAAATTCACACACGATTAATAATTAATTAGAAACTCAATGTCAAACAGTAGTAGAGCCCACACAGAAGCAAATATAGATAAACAACAAGTATTTAAAAAGTATGTATGCATAAATTTGAACAAAACAAAAACAAAAAAAGAAATGAAAAATCGAAATATAACCTTGTAGCACTTTTAGATCCTCAATGAACAATGAAACAAAGACCCAACTTTAGGTATTCACGAACAAAGCAAGATGATGATTTTTGGAACTGAACGCTGATCGATATTTTAGAAGAGCCCTGCTCTGGAGCTTGGCATGACTGAATTGATAAGATGAGAACTAAATTGAAACGAATTGAATTCTAATGAAATGTTTGGTAATGGGTACACGAATACACACATAGAAACAAACACATATAAGGAAAACTGATACGATATTATTGTTATAGTAGATCTTTTTCTAAGCGCTGACCATGGAAATTGTGAAGTTACTTAACTACGTGAAGTAAAACGATGTCACTGCTTAACAGCAGCTTAGTGACCTCAGCAAAAGGCAGCTCACTTCAACAGATTAACTCTAACTGAGGCCACCCAATCAAGTCTAGCATACAAATTTATATTTCACGTTGTACTTATATTTACCTAGATAAAAAGAAATTACAAAAACACACAAAAATCCCTTTGGAAAACATGTTTAAGCCCATACAAGTGAAATAAACTAAAATATCTTTTCAAATTTTTCACGGAATTTTACTTCGGCGAGATGGTTTTCTATATTATTTTTGTATTATTTATTAGGGAAAATGATTTGATGGTTTTAAAAAAATGTTTAAGGAATTCAAAAAAACCTACGTCCTATTTTACTTATATTCTACATTCGACTTATATTGCCTAGTAAATATACATTTCCTCAAGCGACATCTACCACTCATTTTCAGAATGTCATGTAAAATGTATGTAAAAACAAAAAATACTAAAATACACTTTCTTACCCATGACGAATAACTATACCTTCAACGCAATCTTTTTGTAGCACTTTGTATTAACCACATTCACCCTTTAAATAATAAAAAAACCAATCGATTCTTTTATATTTCTTTTTTATTTCTGCACATATAGTATACATACATACTAATTCATAAAGTTGGTTTATAGTTTTCTATGTCTGGCTGCTGCTTTTGTTGCTGTACATGCATCTTACAGATTTTGTTTCAGGGATTTTACATTTAATTATTTTCGCTTCATTTTTAATTTAACGGCCACATTCGATTCTATTGGATTAGTTTGTTTTTATTTATTAGTCGGCCCACTTATCTGGGGGACGTGCCAGTTGAAAGAGCAAGCAATTATCTTATATGAAATTTAGCAATAGCTTCGAAAAGTGCCTTGAAAATTGTAGAGAAAAGTTTAAATTTTTGACCAAAATGTACTCAAATTTGTCGCAGAATTTTATCAAGTTTTTAAAAAAATTGTTATTTGTTATTTGTTTATTTTGTAGAGCTCTTTCAACGATTGCCTAATACTTTTTGAACTCTCTGGGTTTTGGTTTAGATTTTCTAGAATTTCGCACCCGCACAAATTCCAGATATTGTTTGCACATTTAGCCATTTAGCTTTGCTTGGGTCTAACGGTACCCTAACATTTTTCAATACATATCTAATTGGTTTTGTTAGTTTTTCTTATAAATTTTCTTGTCAATTTCCACTTCAAGTTGACATATCTTTTCTTTCGTATTATATTTAGTGTTAGTTTCGGTTTGTGTATTTAGTTAACGATATGTTTGGTATACAAACTTTATAATACCCTGGCTATGTTTTTATTTTTTTATTATTATTTTGGGATAGCTTAGAACAGCGCAGGTTGGCAACTTTTTGCTGAGCACTTGGGCGATTTTAATGCCACCTGAAGCCTGAGGAACAGATCTGAAGTGTTAGGGAAAGACTCGGTAGCTATAGAGTGGATGATACATCCAAAAGATGGGCAGAGAAATCAAGTGGCTTAGCGAACTATATTGAGGAAATAGGCCTCGAGAAATATACAGGTTCAGACACTGAAAGCGACTTGTGGTTGAAAGGAAAATATTGTAGACATGGTCATGTTCTGAATGAGAAAGTGTAGTCTTGTTTAGAGTTAAAAACTAGCCAATTGTTTTTTCCAATTATTATATATATATATTTGTTACTTTTTGTTTTCGTTTTCAGAACATGACCTTTAGAGTTTCGATTGAGGGTGTATTCATTTCTCTAAGTGGTTCTTGTGGCACATTCAAAAGATAGTTTTAGGGTTCATAGGTATCTAAACTCTACTTGTTCTCATACTGACATACACACACACACAGCTCTAAGACAAACACACTCACTCACCCTATTGCATACATGCACACTCGCGGCTAGAACCTAGACATACATATACATATATAGACCTCGTGGCTAACTAAAATCGTAACTAAATCCCATTTAATTCTACTGGCCAAGCTTAGCCGGACTGAGCACCAATTCTGGCTCGAATTTGCTCGACGACGACGCCGCTGCCGCTGAGGGCGGTGAGAGTAGTAGGCTACTGCCACGCCCCATTACCGATCCGGCGGATGACGGATGTGATTTTTGATGATCCGTAGAGCTGGTGGTGAACGATGAGGTGGTCAATCCGCCCAACACCACACCAGATGCTGTGGCTGGTCGCATTAGGCTCAGACTTAGACTTGTAACACCGCTGGTCTCCAGCACCTGGCCAGGAATGCTGGCCATGTTTGTTGCTGTTGTTGTTGTTGTGGTGGCAGTAACCGTTGGCGGCGCCGGCAGCGGTAGCAGACTAATCGTTGTTGTGGTGGGCGGCATTGTGAAAGCAGTTCCTATGCCGATCCCTTTTCCGGCTGAACTGCTCATGGACATGCCCAACGGTCCGCGAACCGTTGCCGTTGCGGAATAGGTGTGCGGCAGGGCCGGTGGCAGGTCATAGCTCGTCGGATGCGACTGCGACGTGGGCAGCCGTGCCGTAATGGTGGGCGTCGTCGTCGTTGTCGTCGTTTTGGGAGTGGCCCCCGTCGAGATGCCAGGCCGATTGAGCCTGGGGTATCGCGCCCGTACTGCAGCTACTTGGCATTGCAGGGGGAGGAGATGCAACAGGTGTAGTCTCATTGCTGGCATCTATTAGGGACGTCTCCTCAACCACCTCCAGCGAATCCTTGATCGTAGAGGAGGATGACAAAGACTGCGACTTGGGAACATGCTGCTGCTCCTGTTGCTGTTGCTGCTGTCGTTGCTGCTGCAGTGCCACCCGCTGACGGACCAGCTTGCTGTCCGGCTTCTCATCCACCGTGCTCAGAGTGGTCGCTCTCGTTATCCTTGATGTGACTGCTGTTGATGTTGGGTCTTTGGTGGTACTACTCGTAACGGCAGTTGTGGCTGTTGTACGTTTGGCAATCTGATGCGGCTGCTGCTGCTGCTCCTGATCCTGCTCCTCGTCGCTCATCTCGCAGGCATTCAAAGCAGTTTGCAGTTTCTTCATCTCCAGTGGTGCATCTTTAAGGATTATAAAGGATGAAACGTAAGCCTAAAATATATTTTATAAGGATTTTACCACCGCTATCCGGCTCATTGATGATCGGCACCACGCGATTGATAGCCGTCTTCTGCTCGTTCTGCATGAACAAGGAAGTGGTGGCTATTTGGCGCAGTGCCTCCATTCCCTCGTTGAGCATTTTGCTCTGGCTGCGTTTGTGCGCTATTGGGTATTTGGGCTGCCATAAGGTATAAGATATGATTATAAAAATGTATGTTAGTCTCATATATGGGATATATCCACCTGAAAACTGGGTCCTCTCGCTATCGACACCCTTTTGCTCTCGTTTCTGAGCAACGACGTTGTGTGATCCGCATCAATCTTGTTGCCGTTTTTCTTTCGCGTCTTTTTGCTGGATGAGATGCAGTGCGATGGACAGATGCAGAAGAGGATGCGTAAAATGCAACAGATTAGGCCCAATCCTGTCAAGAAATGAACTATTACTACATGTTCGTTAAGGATTTTCAATCAACTATTTTATTGCCTATGAGAGAGGGGCCTATAAGTCTTAGTTCCGTGGTTTTGAAGCCCTTCTCGCCGGTGCCAACGAATGCGATGACGAGGCCCAGCGCCACCGTGCCCAGACCCACGTAAAGAAAGGCATTTGCAAAGGTGCTGGGACCTCGCAGAACGCCAAGGAAATCCTCATCGTCCGACGAGCCACCCAAAGAGGCGTCTTGGATCTGTCAATGGAAGAGAACGATGTTACCAAATAACCTAAGAAATGCAAATCAAGGCTTATTTTTAGTCATCAAAACTCCAGGAAGACAAGCTATATTTTTTTCATTTTTAAATCCAAATTTAAATCTTTTTGAGGAATAAAAAAATCTCTGAAAATGAAAACAAAAGTTTTTGAAATTGTTTTTTATTGATTTAATATTCAAAATAACATGAAAATGAGAATATTAAAAATGGATTTATATAAGTTTTAGAAAACATTCCTTAGACGTTCTTCCTGAAGTTATGGATTTTTTGTGGCCTTCATCGAAAATAGTCGTAAGTCAAGGAGGTTATTATGAAACTCAAAGTTAAGTCTGGACAATAGAGATGAGGATTTTCTGCCTGCTTCACCTAACAGAGAATGCGCTGAACATTGAGAGAGTTGTGCATGAAATAAATGTGAGATTAGGGGAGAGGGAGTGATCGAAATGGGGGTTACAAATATAGGCAGAGGGGTTACGGGTATTATGTACACGGCGTGAAAGTTGGTCCTTCGTGGAGGCACTTACTCGGTTGCGCTTCACCCAGCGTCGATGGCAGGTGGCCTGCTGCTGCTGCTGATCCTGGACGCTGCAGCGTCGGCCCCGCTCCAACCAGGCGGCACGTCCTTGGGCGCACTTTTGGAGTTTTCGGGCCGGAGATCGTGACCATAATCGGGACCAAGTGACAACGATAGCACGACGACGACAACAACACACACAGTGGTTGCGGTGGCGATTTGGGTTTTTGAATTGTTTTTTTTTTGGTGGTGGTTGTGGGGCAGATGCATAGAAAATATATACAGTTCAGTGATTAGTTTTGGGCTGTGTGAGATCGTCTCTCGCTTGTGGTTAAGGGGGAGTACACATATCATTAAAATATTAAGGTATATTTCCAAAAGCATACAATACAACTCATCACAAGAGTAACGTCTAATGCAAAAGCAATCAAAATTTGGTTATCAAACCGAATACTAAATTTGTATATACTTGGTTCCAAGAGTACTTTCTTGTCATCAATTACAACATCAATGAGGAAACATAGTTGGTTGCCAATTTTGTAGATATTTTTTCTTGGTTAGTCTGTTAAAGGCATAAACGCACATTGGAGTAAAACAGTTAACAATTAGGATATGGTAACTTAAAAAACAGTTAAACAGCAAGTAATATGAGATTATAGTTAAATAGAGAGGAAGGTAGTAGACTTAGGTATGGAAAATATGGAACAATAACTGAAAAACGAGAACATTGAAAGGAGTTAAACACTTAGATGGTAGATGGAGGGAGCACACTTCAAGACACAAGTCAAATATATTTTCCAAAAAAATGAATTAGCATGCCTCATTGCAGCTCTGCAAACAGCCAATATAGACAATATCTTTAGCACAGCCCATGCAGTAAAAGTAAGGTAAAAGTAAAATAGCCCTCTTTAAAGTGTTAAAAGTTGTTCATAAACAAATGTTGTTTTAGAATAAATAAATAAATACTCGTATGTAGGGGAAATCCGAAGCCACAAATCGACGTATACGTAATATTCGGACACATTTACTTGCCGCTTTAAGGCTTTATTCTGTATAAAAATTATCGCAAATCAAACAACCACTAGTCAATGTCAGTTTAAATTGCTCAGACAACGAGTCATAGATGCCATCATCTACACCTGCCCACCCATTTCTCGGAAAAGACACGTGCACTGGCCAACACGTAGACGGGCTAATGAGTGACTAGACCCCGGAGCTTAGAGCCATCCTGCTCCATGGAGCCGCGACTATAAACAAGGCAATGTCACTAAGCCAGCCACTAAATATGCTGCGTGCCAGTAATAAGGCAAATAAAACGACACACAAACAGGCTGGCCTATATATTTACTAAGAAGGAAGGAAACCCCAACAGATATATATACATGACTGATATATATATATGTATATGACTGAATATATAGTTGGTGAACGAGTATATAAGTGAACATGATGGACTTTGTATGTAGTGCCACGTTTTCTGGTCTCGTTTGCTTTTCGTGTGCAAAATCGCAGTCACACAAAGCGAGCGCCAGAAAAACCGAAAGCTGGCGGAAGGAAAGTGGAGAGAAAGTATCGATCGGCTGCTCCACATAACTGTAGCTGGAACTGGAACTGTAACTGTTGTCCTGCCCTTGACTTAATGTAGGTGTAATCAACAATTTGCGACGCTGATTGACGAACAACGAGGCGACTCCACTGAAGGCCACCGGAGAGTCAGAAAGGCAACGCACGTACGCAAAGGCGATGCACGAAAACTATGGGCTTCTCGAGGATTCGACAGGCCGAAGAGGAGCAAAGGCCGAGGTGTAAGGTGGAGGGGCCCTTTGAAAGGTTTTCAAAATATTTGGTTAGCTCGTCGGCTGACGGACAGGTGTTTGAGCCTGTAAGTTTAGTAGAACTTGTCCAAGTTAGTACTTTAAAACGCAAGGAAAGCAATCAATGTTTACATTAGAAGAGGATTAGTTTTCTAATCTTATTAGGAAATATAAAATGATTATTATTATGTTATGATTCATTGAATATGCTTTTGTGATATCCCCAAAGCCATCTTATTACGGTAAATTATCTCATATACATAAGATTTCAATGAATTATTCATATTGCGCATACGCCTATTGGGACACGTGGCTTATTGTCTGTTTCCGGCAAATATTTGCCATTTAATTTGATCAAAAATAGTTTTCATATACGCACACGCCATGTGTTCATTAAACTTTCACCTTTTGCCATTGTTCAATATTTCGCAAAGCCAACTTATAATCATCAGGATAACCAATATCTTCGGTCCCTCGATAGATTTGCTATTTTTACGGGCGTCAGGCGCCCCATGCTCCCGTTTACTAAGTAGCTTCACCTTTTCGTGTATCGAAACTCACGCAATGTGCGAGCGGACAAACAAAAGCAAAAACAACAACAGAAAAAAAAAGCTGGTAAAATAGAAATGTTGTAAAAATTACAACAAAGCGTCGAAAATGCTTTCAATCGGGTCTGGCTTATAAAGGCGACAAAACGCTAATGAACCGCGCACACGGAAGCCAATGAAAGAAAGTGGGCTATGTTATGTGTAAGGAGCTTAATGGAAAATCGAAACACGCCAAAAAGTCAGAAGAAAATAGCTGCTTTTAATTCACAGTAAGTCGAAGTGGGTAATTTTCGGTTTTAAAAAGTTTTAAGATCAAATTAAATATAAGTTTAAAATCAAATTAAGTCGAGGTAAGTACTTTTTAGTTCTTAAAAGCAGTTGACTTAAGCTATACTCATAGAAAATTATTTCGTTTTGCTGGTTTAAAATACATTACTAACCACTCTACTCTATATTTCATATTCCCACTTTCTTTAACGAACAGAAAATCCTTAAATTCCTTATGAAATAGCAAAGGCAAAGAACAATTTATTTTATCAGAATTCCTCGGAAACGTTCAAGCTCCCTAGCTATTCAGTAATTTTTCTACTTCACAACAAGATCCCTAATTAAACATGTCGCCGTCGCAATAATTCCCCTATAATTAATGATAATTACTGGGTGAAGGTCTCGCAAGCCTTATCCGCATAGTGGTCACATTTATACAAAGACTACCGAGGAGTGGGTTTATTTTCTTTTTGTTTCCATTGTGATTATCGCCATTGATTTTTGTTTCCCATTGTATAACAATAAATTGTTTTGCCTCAATTGGCTGGCAGCGTCGAAAATTAACATGTACTCGTCGACGGCGATTTCCCCCTTGGCGAACAGGAAGTGTAGGCCATTTAATGACAGCAATTTATTCATGTTCATTGATTGTTTGTTCGAGTGCATAACTTGGTTTGCTTTTCTGCCCCTAGCAGCCAGTGTTAAATTGTGTTGTATACGTCGATAATGCGATGAATCAATTAAAACCTATTTATCGTTAATGATTTCTTATTTGTGTATCTTTGATGCCTTCTTTGATATTTGACAGATTAGAAATCAGAAAAAAGAGATTTGTATTTCGATTTAAAGATTATCTGTTCGCACCCACATCTCTGTCTTTGGACAATTGAAAACAAATCTGTGACAGGATTCGTATAGTCACATTTCAGCAGACAGAGCCAAGGAGGCAGATGCCGACAGCCCCAGCGATTTGGCCCGTGTACAATTTTATTATGCAGCTGCTAGAGAAAGCAACGACTTGAGCTGAGTGGCGCAGAATCAAGTGCAAAATGCACTTGCAAAATCAACAAGAAGGGGGCCAGAGTCCAAGGGGCAGGCATGTTCGGACAGGTGGGCCGAGAGCCAAAGAACGTGGCTGGGTACAAAAGCAGAAAAAAAGTGCGCAGGCTAATGAAAAATGCAGGAGAAGCCGCAGCTGGAGCTGACACACGACCAAGTCGTAAAGAACGAGGTAGAAGCTAATGCTATGGATGTGGTAAGACAATGCAGCAGCAGCAGCAGCAGTATAAGTATTAGCCAGTGAAAATTCAGGGACAGGGGCACCGAGTAGAGACATTACAGGCAATTTCACTAAACGACACTGAAAGGTCGAGCTTTCCAGATGCCCTTCTTGCCCTTCTTTTTACACTTCAGCCAGCCCAGACCAGCCAGCTTGATGTGTCTTTGTTTCCGGCTGCTCTGTCCTGCTGTCCAGCTGTCCTGTCCGGAGGCGACTCGGCTCAAGGTGCTTCCATGGCCTATGCGGCGAATCGGTTGAGCTGTCCCTGGCTATATGTGAGTCCCGAAACTGGCACATGGCCAGGGCCACGGGGCGAATGTGAAACGGCTTTGCCGTTCGCTCTTTGGTACACAAATCAGCATTAAGCCAAGCCCCAAAAACAGTTCATTAGGCCAAATAATGCCCATGGCCCTTTTCGACTTTTGGCCACTTCAAAGAGACCGCAGTGTGATAACCATATCGAGGGTCAGATTAATGTGGGGAAAATACAATTAGGGAAAGGAATCCCTTTTAAAAATAATTTATTATGAAAGTTAAGATATAAAACTCACTGAAATTGTCTTTAACAATTTCCGAAAGTCAGATTTCGGCGAATATTAAAAATACTACAAAGAAGTCTTGTCTATAATGACAATGGTGTCGTTGATCAAAAAGTTGCTGTGGCCTAAAGATGCAATTTGCAGTCAAGCTAAGTACTTTCTGCACTCTAAAAAGCCTTTTGGTCCTTCTCTTTGTCCCAGATCTTTTATCGCAATTCTAATAAAATTGATTTGATTTTAAATTCAATTCGCGTAAAACGCACAAATCGATAGGAGGAGCGCACATGCAACACATGGGACTGGGCACCCAGGCAAGCAGTGAAAATCCCCATTCAAGGACCAAGAAAACCAACCGGAGAGATCTGCCCCGACTGGGCAACAAAACAATTTAAAGGCAAAGCCACAAAGAAAAGTGGCGAAGTTCTCTCCAAAACGGAACCCGGGCAACCGAAAAAGTTAGCATTTAAGCGCATATTGTGTAATGAAATCAGACCATCTAGAATATAGAAAATATATATATATATGGCAGAGGGCAGGGTGTAGCAGCGCCAGTGGCACCGCAAATTAAAGTCGTTTTGCGGCTAAATGTGAAATGTTTCGGTGTGTGTGTGCAAATACCGGTTTTGCGGACTTGGACTTCAAACGGAAGCAGACATTTCTTTTAGTTTTTC